GGGAATCAGAGGCAGAAGTCACTGCCTTCTCCAGCAAGCCACAGGCTGTCTGCACATCAGGAGTGGGGTCAGCAGGACGAGTCTGCAGCCCTCGAGACACCTGCATCCACCTGGTTGCCCAGCCAGCCTATTCAGGTGAGTGTGGAATCCACGCGGACGGCAAGAGTGTCCATGTGTATACTCTGTTCTTCTGTGGAAGCTCTTTAAGTGAGCAGACAAAAGCTCTTTAAAATAAGAAGATATCTTATTGAAAGTTATTTCTAGGTGTTAATGTTCGTTAAGTCACGTTCAGGGCACCCTACTTTTTTGTATAGGGAGTTTTCCTGGGATAATAGGCCAGACGTTTGTTTTGTTTTGTCTTTAAACAGCATCACTAGGAAATGGAAGTAGTATTAAGCCCTGCACTGTTTCAATTGTTCACCTTTCCAGAAAATTGTTAAACCACAATGTGCTCGGTCTTTTTTTTAAATAAAATCAGTTCTGTACTCCAACATCAGGTCATCAGTGAGTCCTTCCCTAATCTCGTCCTCATCAGTGCTTTTAGTGAATTTCTTTCTCCCTTCTTCCCTCCTTGTCTCTCTTCCTCCATCCCTCCCTCTTGCTCTCTCTCTCTCTGTGTCAGCCTTACTGTTTACCAGGACCTAGTTATACCTAACACTATATTAGACACTCATTACTATGTTTATTAACTCTTTCCTCTCACCGAGATTAAAATAAACAGGGGCGGGGATATTGTTAAGTTAAATTCTGGATCATGGGTTTTAGTGCATAACTCGGCAGATAATAGGTGCTCTATAAATGGAAGGGTCAAATAATTTTCCCTCCAAACTGGGACATGTCAGGGAATGCAGTGGCGTTAATAATTACAGCAGGACAACAGGAATGAAGTGAGATTTATGGTTTTACTTTAAAAAAATATCTTCTGAAGACAGAAATGAGGGGCTTAAAAGGAAAGGTGTACTGATTAGGTTTACATTTTTAACAGATTTTTGGGAGTAGAGTCTTATAATGGATTACACAGAGAAGGGATTTGCTATCTTACTGATAATTTTTTGCAATACACCACAAAAGAGATTACGTCATTCTTCAATTCTAATTGAGTGAATTTGTTTGAAAAACTTAGAAAGTAATTTTTGAGTTTGAATAATTTCTTTCAATAGATATATCTGCACCTTCTAAGGCCAAAGCAAGAAGTGAATACAGCAGTGCAAAATATTAACGTCGACACTAGTCTTCACTTCATGGAGTATCCAATTTAGTGAGGAAAACAGTACGAAAGAAACAGATAATAATACACATACAATTAAAAACATTAACACAGAGAACATGTAATATTATTTTGATTGCTGGATCAGGGAAGGGCACTCTGTGGAGATGGTATTTTGTAGGAAATCTGAAAGGTGCTCAAGAATTATTCAAAAGTTGAGAATCTGTAGGTGGATTCAGGAGGGTGGATGGATTGCTCACTGATATATGAGTGTGGGGTGGCAGGGTGTCCAGAATGACACTCAGGGGTAGACAGGAAATTAGTACCAACAAGTAAGTTTAGGGGACCTTGACAGAGGGGTGAATTATTTGGAGAACTGGTTGGTTCAACTTGGCACCTGCTCAATGTGAGTTGAGATTTGTCACTGGTGTAGGGAGTGGGCAGATGAGTATTTGGGTCTCAGGGTTGAAGTAGGGTCTATGCTAATTCTATGGGCATTTCTAGTGCACTAATGGTATGTGAAGCCAGGAAAATGGATGGGAAGGGGGTGTGAATGTGGAATAAATGTGAGAGCAAGATTGACTTCTAAGGAGCATCAATTGTTGTGTTAGGTCAGATGGTGGAGCTGAGATTAACAAGGAGAGTTGGAAGAGAGAAGGAAGAGAGTCGGGGAGGAAAGATGGTTGTTTACTGGGGATGGGTCTGAGTTACTTATTTATGAACAGGAGAATATCAGAGTGAAGATGGGACTTGGGTGTGGAAGTGGAGTGGAGCATGTAAGGGCTGAGAGGTGTGTGATTTCACTGGAGATGAGGCACTAAAGGAGCCGTGAAAACTAGGTGACCGTGTGCCTACGGCAGAGCACAAAGAGACGCTGAAGACCTGAAATTTGGGGATACAAAGATGCCTGTGATCTCTGTATGCAAATGACAGTGGGTGGGGGGTACCAACATGTATGTAGTTGACAGTGACAGGGTGGGAAGAGGGAACATCCTCAGAGGAGGGTGGTGGAGGGAAATGTCTGGAGTCGGCACTGGGTAATGACCTGAGCTTTCTGTCCTTGACTCCTATCAGCTCGATGTCCCCAAATCTAGTTCTCCATGTGTGATGCCTGTGCCAGCAGCAGCAGCAGCATCTGGGACCACTTAGAAGTGCAAATTCTTGGCCCCACCTGCACCCTAGTTGAGTTGAAGTCCAGAAATCTGAGTTTTAACAACCATCCAGATGATTACGATGCAGAGAGTAACATGAGACACATTTCTCCAGGAAGAGAAGAGGGTGGAAGATCCAAATGAGCTGAGAACATTCTGCCTGGCTGGCAGTCTGCATCCCTCATTTTATTCAAGGTTCACATTTCACTTTGTTTTCAAAGGGGAAGCTCAAAAGAAATACGATGGCCCAGGTTTCAGAGAAGAAAGGACAAGTCCATTTAGCCAACTCCCAAGGGCGGACTCATTGGGAAAGGTCTGCCCTTCCTATAAGACTCACCAGCTGCATTTCCAGAGGCCAATCACAAGGATAACTTCCAATCCTGGCAATGAGGTCAGGTACAGTCAATGGCAGGAGACCTGGCAGAAGCCCCAGCGAGTCTGTGCATCCAGGAGACAGAAGCATCTCCAGGCCGGCAGCACTGAGGGAGAACTTTTAAGTCTTCAATATCACAAATACCTTAAAAATAATTGCACCTCATAATCCAGGGGAATCCCTGGGCCACAATGATGCTGGGTCTCTACACTCCAGCCCCGAGCCCACTGCTGCACAGTCTTCAAATTGGGCAGAGATGATCCCAGGAGCAGGTCTCTGTCTCCCACAGTCGGTTTGTACACAGCCAGTAACTTAGGGAGATATCTGCAGACAGAGTCAGGAAGTTAAAAAGCCAAGGGAGGGACTGGCTGAGGCCCTGAGGGCAGACAGGCTTGCCAGGGAGGCAGAGAGGGAGGAGCCAAGAAGGATGTTCTGAGAACTGAATGGAAACAGAAGCTTGTGCTGAAGAAGCCAAGAGGTGTAGCCCTGGGCAAGTGGCTCCCGTGAGCAGCCCTCAGTTTCACTCACCTCTTTTAATGTCAATCCTGCTCTGGACTGTGACACCTTGTCATATTAAAATTGTACTTTATTAATTCTTTTGAAAGACAAAAATGTGAATTGTAGATGGTCTGGTGGGTAAGAGATCGGGTTTTGTGTGACAAGAAAGAAGATCTTTACTTGTCCTTGTACTCCACACTTTCTGTTTACCATGATTTTTATTTACTTTTATATTAAATTCGACAGAGGTAATTTAACTTGAGGGATCACTTAGTGTTTTTAGTTATAATATTTTCTTCTAATATTTATGCTCAAGAAAAGATGATACCAACTGTAAAGAGCTTTTTTTAACATTGAATGAATTTGACTCCATAAAAATCTTATTTGATTAAACTTGCTTTTATATCTCATTCTAAAATGTCGCATCCTTTTCTTCCATATTTTTGCCAAATGCTAATTCAGACATAAGACATTTTTATATACCTTAATTAGCGCTTAGGCTACCTGTTACAGCCTTATCTGTTACCTAAAATTACCTGGGTGGTTTTTTAAATAGTTAACTTTAGGTTATTAAGAAGGAAAATGTCCTTTGAGAACATTTTGCACTGAGAGAACCTTGGCAGCAGGCTCATTGCCTTCGCCCTGACACTAGGTTCTAAGTCAATGAAACTTGTCCTCTTACTTGTAACAGCTAGATCTTAAGTTAGCATGAGGGAAGCCATGTTAGGGAAAGGAAGCAATATTGGAACTATGGCCCTGACTCACTCATCTCTGGGAATATGTTCTAGCCCACACGTAGCCTAGACGATTAAGCACCTCTCGCCTTTGCGATATACATGACCTGCTAGTTCCATGACACTTGCTTACATGTGTCTCCCAGCTGTGATAAGACAACTCTGTTCTCTCAGTTCCCCAGGAACATGACGATCTCCAGAAAGAAAAACTCTGCCTTGGTACCCATCAGAAATGACAGAAGAAAGGGATATCAAGGCGCCTTCAAGTCCATCACACCAGACGGTTGACATTACTAAACCCTCCTCCCTTGCCCATTTCTCCTATATAACTGCCTCGAGATTCTGTATGATTTTAAGATGCTTCTTCAGGACACTAGTCTCCCATCTTCCAATTATGCTAGCTAATCGTCTAAATTTTCCTTCTCAACCACTGGCTTGTCTGTAGTTGATTGGCACCAGATCGCAGCGAGCAGAATGAGCCCCTTTTTGCTTGATTATACGCTCACAGTGTAGGGCACATCGTAATTATTCAATTAACATGTTATGAACAATATTTGGTGGAAAAGGTGGCAAGATACAGATGTGAGATGGGGGGACTCTTTCCCTAGCTCAGGAAGGAAAAGGACTTGAGGTGGTTTTGGAAGGATCTGGCATTTTCTGGACTTCCTTGAAAGATTAAGATAGAGCAGTTTTAGCAGTGGTGAGGAAAGAAGCCTGATTCTAGAGTGTCAAAGAGGGATTGAGAATCAGAAGGGCAGAGAGTGAGTGGAAGTGGGCAACTGTGCCTTGTGCCTCTTGACAGCGGCCTCCTGATTGAACATAATGACCGCTCCCTCCCAGAGCCAAGGCTTTGCTGTGGGGCTGGCTCCACCCTAGGACTGGGGTGTTCTAACGCCTCAGTGTCAGCTAATCCGCATATTCCAAACCCCGAGTCCTGGGACAGGGAGTGTCGAATGGCCCTCTCTGGTCCAACAGGATCCAGGCACAGGACCCTTTATGGAACCAGAGGAGGAGCCAGGGGCACACAGGGTTCTTACCTGCCAGACCTGGAGTTCTGGGAAGCGGAGCTGAGTGAGGTCACAGGGCAGGAGCAGCTGACAGGGTTTGAGGCCACCTGGGAAGAAAGCGTGGTAGGAGTGGGCGTGAGGGATGGTCAGGACAAGACCTGCCCCCTCACTTGTATCCTGCCTGTATCTGTGCCTGGACATAATCTACTCCTCAAGTCTCATTAACATGAGCTGATTTCTTCCCTCACTGAATCTTTTCTTTCTTCTTATATTCTGTTATATTACCTTAAGTTAATTTTAGTCGGGTTTTCTCTCCCATATATTTAAATTATTTCTGACTGATTCCTAGATGTAGATTATGATTTCAGTGAGTTACCTTGAAAAACGGAGACTTAACATGTGACAACTGAGGACCTGAGAAATTTAAATGATGGCATCTGGCATGGCCAACGCTCTTCAGGACATCCATCTCATAAGCCACGTGATAATTACAATTTTGAAGACAAGGTACTATTAAGTTTTGATGGTTTAAGCGAGAACAAAGGGGGAGCCCTCCAATTGACTCAGTTTACCAACAGCAGAGAACCCCCCTTACCTCCTACAGCTCCTGGCGGTTCCTGCCTCCTTGGTTTGTGGCAGCAGATCTACGACCTCTGCCCCGTCTTTCAAACGATCTTCTCCCCTCCATGTCTCTGTGTCCTCTCCTCTTCTTATAAGGACACCAGTCATTCAGCTCAGGCCCTACCCGATATCCAGGATGAGCTCATCATCCTCAGGTCTTTAATCACATCTACAAAGACTCTGTTTCCAAATAAGATCACAGTCCGACGTTCAGGGTGGACAGGAACTTTTGGCAGACATTTGGCAACCCACTACCTCCTCTGCCCTCAAGCTGGGGATGGGAGAAATCCACGCAGGAAGTGACCTTCTTGTGCCAGGTGCGACCTGAAGGGCTGACGTCAGCAGCAGCCATACAAAGTACACAGACAGTCTTCATGGCTCAGGCAGACCTGAATGATAATAATATTGGAAGAGTCATCTTCCTCAAAAGTACTTGATTCAAAGTAATAAAGTTAAAAATCATAATACAATTTTTTTGAAATTGTGATGTTGATTTTTTTTTTAAGATTGGCCCTAAGCTAACATCTGTTGCCAATCTCTTTTGATTTTCCTTCTCCCCAAAGCTCCTCAGCACATAGTTGTATATTCTAACTGTAGGTCCTTCCAGTTCTGCTATGCGTGACACTGCCTCAGCACGGCTTGATAAGCAGTGCTAGGTCCATGCCCAGGATTTGAACCAGTGAAACCCTGAGCCTCTGAAGCAGAGCGCGTGAAGTTAACCACTCAGCCATGGGGCCAGCCCCCTTATGTTGATTCTTAAATTCATATGGAAGAGAAATTTTACAAAGTGAAAGAAAAAATTTTTTCTTTCTTTTCTTCTTTTTTTTTGCTGAGGAAGATTAGCCCTGAGCTAACATGTGTTGCCAATCTTCCTTTTGTTTTTTGCTTGAGAAAGTTTAGCCCTGAGCTGCTATCTGTGCCAATCTTCCTCCACTTTATAAGTGGGTCATCACCTCAGCATGGCTGACAAGTGGTATAGGTCCACACCCAGGATCCGAACCCATGAACTGGGACTGCCAAAACAGAGCTGGCTGAACTGAACCACTATGCTACAGGGCCACTGCTGAAAGAAGAATTTTGGAAAACCACCCACCAACAAAATGAACATGAAGGAGAACAGGACAATGGTAACATACCAAAACATTTCCCCAGTCCTATTAACAACAATGGCAGACTAACGTGCTCACAGAATCAGTCTATCCACTGAAGCAACCATTCAGCTGGACAAACTGACAGAATCAACTGTTCCAGAACTCTGGAATACAACAAAAACTTACATCAACCAGAGGAGTGATGAATGAAGGAAGAGGTGGCTGAATTTGGGTAAAACATTGCAGCATTTTTGGTTAATGCAGACACACTACCGTTCCCTGGTTCAGTGGAGGATGTGAAGATGGAGCCCAGATTCCTTGAATGGCTCCCTGGTGCCAGGGGACAGACATCAACCTGGTTCTCAAAATAGGGTGATTGTGACTGGATGGCAGTGACCTGTCTGTCGGGTCCCTGAGGGACCGGAGCAGAAGCAGACAGGTATTTCTTCCCCTCAGGCTGAAAAGATTTTCCAAGTGGTAGCACGACCTGATGAAAGATTTAAAGGTCTATGCTACTGGGAGACACCTGGGCAAGTGATGATGGCCGGGGCAAGCCACAGATGGACCCAAAAATCTGGAAAGGAGACACCTGAGGAGAAAGTTTTCTGGCTAATAAAGGGTTAGAAGGGCCACTGCATGTCCCAGGGAGCCAGAGTGCAATGTGGATGCCCAGAGCCGGATGCGTGTTCAGAAAACACCTGAGCAGACCCTGGGTTTGCACCTCTGGCAGATTTGTGGGCTCCATGCAAGTAGGTGGTGAAGTGTAAGGAAGAGACGCAGGGGGCCCAGCTACGAAGACTGGGAGAGTTGGGATCTTTTTGTTTTTCAACTGTGTTCTTTTGGATCCTTGCATTTAAAGAAATCTCTGAGATAACCAAAAGGAGACTTCAGTGACCACTCACATCAAGAAATACAGTCTTTGTAAAAATAGTCTGAAAATTCACTAAACAAAAGGAGGATTACACCTCATCAAAAGTAGCAACAGCAAAACCTGGGGAGGGGGAGAATCTGATCTTCACAATGACCACACTGTAATACGCCAAATGTCGAGTTTCCAACAAAATTACAGGCAATATGAAGCTACAGGAAAGCATAGTGCATTCATATGAAATAAAATGAAAATCGACAAATGTCCCTGAGGAAGCCCAGCCATTGGACTTAAGAGACCGAGACTTTAAAACAACTGTCTTATATATGCTCTAAGGGCTGCCTGAAAGCTGTGATAAAGAACTAAAGAAAATCAAGAGAATGACATCTCAGTTCACAGAGAATATCAATAGAGAGAAATTGTAAACAGAACGAAATAGAAATAATCGAGGATTACAGCTGCATTTCTGCCTCCCTTCTCTAGCCTTAAGAAACCACTAACCCACTTCCTGTCTGTACAGATTTGCCTAAATTTGGCATTTCATATAAACGGAATCATATATGCTGTCTTCTTTGACCAGCTTCTTTCACTTCGCAATAGGTCTTCAAGGTTCCTCCATGTTGTAGCACGTGTCCTTCACATCTGTTAGGGCCCAATAAGGTAGTGTATGGATATACGGATCACATTTTGTTTACCCATTCATTAGTTGATGGCCATCTGAGTTCCTCTGGTCCACCTTTTGTGGGTCCCACTTGCACCTTCAGTGACCTTGGACCAATGTCTCCCATCACCCTTCTTGTTCTCTGCCATCCAGTCAGCTCAGACCTGCTTAGACACCAGGTCTTTTCAACATAAACACTCGTCCAGTCCTTAGGAAGGGTCATAAAACCAGAGATTGGGATGGGTAGAGGCCACCCCACTGAAGACTGCGAAGGCCAACACATGCTTTCTAGGTGCAGCAACTTTAATAGAAACTATTAGAGCAGAAATTCCCAAAGTTGCTGGCATGTTGGGTCTCCAGCGGTTCCTCTTAACTTTAAGTACAGGGTCTCCTAGGAGACATCTGCCGTCGTTTTTGGTTTCTCACCTACTGAACTCCTATCTAGTCTGAGGGCTTCCCCCACTTTATGATCCTGGGAGGAGAAAACACCAGCTTCCCAATCTAAAAGCAGAAAATGCCAGATACTTCCATTTGCAGCCTCCCCTCTGCAGCCAGGGTACAGTTCCATGAATCCAGCACTCAGGTAGACCCTGACCTCAGAGGCAGGAGCATCGCTCTAATGATAACGGATTTGGACAACGGTTAACAGAGGCAGCTTCAGTGGACCCCCAAGCCCAGGTCCCCGTCCTCCCAGAGGCTCGGATTGTAACAAACCTTCTGTTGCACACAATTAAAACCATGAATAAGAGAACCCGGCGTTGGTGTTGGAAGTGGGCAGAGGGTCAGGAGGGGCCCACAGTTTGCATTCCAGCCTCAGTCTTGGATGATGTGGGGGCCTCTTCCCAGACCCCCCGGTCAGCCGGCGCGGTCACTGCACCCCAGCGGCCTTCCTCATGTGTTGGGTAGGTGGGCTCAGCGAAAGTCAGAGGCTGCACCCCCAGGGGTCAGTCTCCGCTGGGGACATCAGCGCCAAACTCAACGGGGCCATCAAGTCCGAAGGATCCAGCCGTGGGGACACGCGCGTCCTCGTCGTGGGCGGAGGACACGCCGTTGTCCGGCCAGACCGCCCCGCACCGTGGGCAGCGGCGGGGCCGGAGGAGCGGGGAGGAGGGTAGCGGGGGACCGGCGACCACGACCCTCTTCGAGGGGCGCTCGGGGCAGCTCGGGCGCCTGGAAGGCTCCGGGCTCGCCCTCCACGGCTCCTTCCAGCCCAGCCGCCTTCATTTTCCGCCGTCCCCGCCTCGGCATCCCTGTGCGGTGCCGCTAACCTCCGCGCTCTCTACCGCTCAACGGCCTCTCCGTTCTTCCCAACGGAACCTCGGCTCGGCTCTCTCCGCCACTTCTCGCAGCTTTTCGGCTTCGCTCGGCTCTCCCCGCCAGGCCTCGGGTCCTTCCGCCCGGCCTCCGCTCTTTCTTCGCATCTTCGTCTCTTTCCCTTCATCTTCGTCTCTTTCCGCCTAACCTCGGCTCTCCCCGCCTCCCCGCGCCGCTCTTCGGCTCAGTGGTTGCCTGAACCAGCTCTCTCCGCCTGGCCTTGGCTTTCTCTGATTTCGCTGCGAAACTTCGGCTCTTTCGTCTCTCCTCGCTTCGCCCTGGGCTCCGCGCGGCTCTCTCTGTCTCGCCAGGTCTTTGTGTCCGCGGGCAGAGGTGGTTCAAACTTACCTCCTCCTCACTGTGGTACCTGAGTTCCACTTTCTCCCACCCTGATATCCTGATATCCCATCAACATATTAAACAAACAAAAACTGTTCCTAATCTGATAAAAAAAAAAGGACTGTTTTCCTTCGGATGTTTGTTTTGATGGGAGAATTTGGGAATCATCTCTTATATTAAGAGCATTCTGTATTGTCTGTGAACTAGTCTTTGCATCTGTCCATCTCTCCAGTGGATTCTTAGTTTTTCTTTTTCTGGCTGGTAGGAGTTCTTTAATATTAACAAATTAGCTTTTTTGGTCAGTTGCCAATGTTTTCCTCTTTTCTTTTTCATCTTTGCCTCTAGACGTTGCTGCCATGCAGATGTTTTAAATGAAATCAAATCTGTTAATTTTGTTACCTCTTGTGTTCTGCTTTAAAAAAGACCGGCTCTCCTTTGAGATTATGTATAAAATATTTTCCTTTGGTTTTTTCTGGGACATTTATAACTTCAATGTTTACATTTAAATCTATGATAATCCCTATTCCACAGACCAACTGGTGGTTCCAACAGGATTTTTTTTTGTTTACGATCTCTTTTTTCTTTACTGACTTAGCACATAACCCGTACCCACTTTATTATGAAAAATGTTCAAGCATGGAGATAATTTGAAAGATTTTTACAGTGAACACTCATGTTAAGGACTGAATTCTGTCCCCTCACCATTCATGTGTTGAAGCCCAAATCCCTAATACCTCATTATGTGACTGTATTTGAAGGTTGGGACTTTAAGTAATTAAGGTAAAATGCAGCCATTGGAGGACCCTAACCCAGTTTGACAAGTGTCCTTATAAGAGGAGATTAGGACGTACAGACCGAGAGACGACAGGGGCACGCATGCACAGAGGGAAGATTATGTGAAGAGGCAGCAAGAGGGTCATCATCTGCAATCCAAGGAGACAAGACTCAGGAGAAACCAGTCCTGCCAGCACCTTGATCTTAGACTTCCAGCGTCCAGAATTGTGAGAAACAAGTTTCTGCTGTTTAAACACCATCTGTGGTACTTTACTGTGGCAGCCCCAATGAACTAATACAGTCCGCCACCTAGATTCCATCACTAACATTTTTCTATACTTCCTTGGCCACTTCCATCCCACTATCATCCATCAATCCATCTTTTTTTAAATGTATTTTGAAGTAGGTTGTAAACAGCAGTAGGATTCACTCCCAAACACTTAGCACACATATTAATTAGAGTTCAAAATTTGATTGGGTCTGGAAGATCTCCCCAGGTGGCTCACTGAATGGGGAGTAATGGATGCTGACAAGTTGGTCCCTCTCCACATCTCTCCACAGGGCTGCTTGAGCATCCTCATGGTATGGCGGATGGCTTCCCCTAGAAAGGGAACAATCCAAGAGAAGGAGGAGGAAGCTTCAGTGTGTTTTATGCTGCAGCCTCAGATGTGACACACTGTCATTTCTGCAGCGCTGTATTGATCACTTGGGTCATGTCTGATTGAATGTGGGATGGGACTGCACAGGGCATGAAGACAGGTGGCTAGGATCATTGGTGGCCATCTTGGCAGCTAGCCAACACACCTGCATTTTGTCCAGGCCACCTCTCCTCATCAGCCCAGAATTTCTTTTCGTCTGCTTCAGCTTGGCCCCAACAGCCTGGTTTGATTGGAGCCGCATGGGGCCTCTGGAATTCATGGCTGGGTTTGGGACACCATAGAAGGTCTCCTTTTCCCCTTCATTTTTACTCCTCTCTCCTCTCTATCCTTCTCAGCCTCTCCACCAGCTCCAGCCTTCCTTGAGCCCTAGAGCCCCTTCAAGCAGTAGATGTTCTGAGAGACAAGAGGGGACGCAGCAGATAAGAGGGGTTTCCTGGGGCAGGAAATGTTTGGGGATTTGCTTCCTGGGCTCCTGTCCCCTTCTGTATAAGGGGAACTTGGGGGTGTCTGCTGGCTTGTCCCTTATTCTGAGCCTGGGGTCCTCAACATTCCCCAGGGCAGGAGACACTAGGTTGAATGGGGCTCTCTCTATCCACTACAGTTGGGGCAGAGACATCTACATTGCAAGAGGAAGCTGAAGAGTTGCCAGCTGGGGCTCAGAATGTTCCACATGTTTGGGATAAGGGAAGGGTCATCACAGAGGTAAAACTGAGGATGAAGTAGTTAAAATTCCCCTGGATTAGGGTGAAACTGTGCCTTCTACCCATAAAGTTAATGTGGGAAACAAAATAACCAGTTTCTGAGTTTGCCTTGCAGAACAGCAGGAGGACCACTGATAAGAGAGGAACTTGCTGACAGTGCCGTGCCTAGGCATCTTGCAGGCACATTAAGCACAAATGACTGATTGCAAACTTTAGATGTCAAAGACTAAAAATCCACCGTGTGCAACACATAGAACAGATAGTTGTGTGTGGAGGACTCTTAGAACTTGAGCCCTCAAGGCCACATGCTCCTCCTCCCCACCTAAAACCCCAAATAAAAACTGTTGCTTGCAGCTTCTCTGGGAGTTTGGAATTACAGCTTAGCTGCCCAGCCTCCTTGCTCAGTGCTTTGCAATAAAATTCCTCCTTTTTTGCACTGTAGCTGGTGTCAGAGATTGGCTTGCTGTGTGATGGGTGAGCAAACTCACTTCAGGTTCGATATCAGGGGAAGTCACCTCCTGTTGGGAGACACTTGAGGGACTTGCACCGTGGGCTCCCCTCATTTGTGTTGAGAGTGCTGCTTGCTGATGCTTGTATCAACTTTTTTTTTTTTTTTTTTTTTTTTTGATAATGGGATGAGATGTAGTGCTCTGGGGGATCTGTTTAAAACCTGTGTTGGAGAACCTGGTGGGTTGCCTGTTAAGACTCTGTCATCACTGCTTGTCTCCAGAGGTGGGGAGACTGGGGTTACTCTTTGCTGAGGATACTTATATCTAGTCTTGGGAGTCAAGGGAGGCAGGCTAGGGTTTGTGTTGGGTGAGAATGTCGTGGCACTTGTTAGAGCTGCTTTCTTCTTATTGTGTAAGGGATCTTAAGCTGCTTTGTAGGGTTTCCAACATCTCTAATCTTGCAGGGATACAGGGCATCACTTGAGCCCTTGTGATGTTAGGGCTAACCGGGGTGTATGAGGCTGGGGTTCCTGTTGTCTCTGGTGCTTGGAAACTGGAGGGCTACTGCTTGCCTGGGGCTCCCATATTTCAAGTGTTGGGGTGGCAGGGATGGGTAATGAATGGAGGTCCATTGCCTCTAATTTGGGGAGAGGACTGGGATAATTGCTTGAGATTCCACTTATCTGTAGTCAGGGGGACGGAGGGGTCTCTATGGCGCTCCTTTTTTCTAGCGTTGGGTGAGATCAGAAGCCTCACTTTCTGGGTCTGCCCTTGTCTGTCTTGTTGGCATAGACTGGGTGGGTCACTGGGCTGGGGCTCCCAATTCTCTAGTGCTGAGGAGCAGCTGAGGGAGTCACTTATGGGGCTGCTGGGATTTCTAGAATTGGAAGTAACTATGGGGTACTTGCTGGAGTCCCATCATTCCTAGTTTTGGGAGGATGAAGATCTTACTTTTTCAGATGCAACATCTGTGTTTAGGGATAACAGTTGCTATCCGAGGTTCTGTTGAGTCTAGTTTTGGAGGGAACTGGTGGTCCCTCACTAGGGCTTGTCACCCCTACTGTTAGAGGCAGATTGTGAGCACCACTTGCTGGGCCCCTAGCATCTCTAGTATTGGGGGGTGGACTGGAGGATCTCTTGCAGTGGCTTCCATCATCTCTAGTTTTGGAGGATCAGTGCAAAGTGTTTTTAAAAGCATTTTAGTTTGAAAATGTTTAGACTTACATAAAAGTTGTAAAAGCATACAGGCTTGTTTTATACAGTCAATATTCATCATATTTATGTATGTTTTCTTTCTTGCTGATCATTCCTAACATTATGTGTCTCCACGTGGAATTATTTTCCTTCAGCCTGAAAACTCTCTTTAGTGTTTCTTTAAGTTCATTTCTGCTGTTGATTAATTCTTTCAGCTCTGTTTTTTTTAACCCCCTTTGGAAAACATCTTTGTCTGTAGTTTCAAAGAATATTTTTCCTAGGTCATAGTATTTTAGATTGGCAGGTGTTTGGGTTTTTTTTCATTTGATCCTTTAGATATCAGATGTCATTGTCTTCTGGCTTCCATAGTTTCTTTTGAAAAGTTATTAGTCTTATTATTGCTCCTTTCAAAACAATGTGCCATTTCTTTGGTTGCTTTAAAGATTTGACTTCCATTTTCTACAATTGTCCATGTTTCCTCCATTTTATTCACAGTTATTTTGAAGTCCTTGTCTGCTAACACCAATATCTGGATTGTCTCTGGGTCTGCTTCTGCTGGTTTATATATTCATAATTGAGCCCATTTTCCTGCTGGTCTGTGTGTCTAGTAATGTTTTCTGTGGTGGATCTTGCGAGCAGTACCTTGTAGAGGCTCTTAATTATGTTACCTTCCTCTAAAGATTAGGTTTCATTACGGCAGGCAATTATAGTACTAATGGATCACACTGAGCCTCTGAAGGCTAGGTTTTAGACTCCAAAAGGACAGATTTATTTCAGTTTGGCACTGACTTCTAAGATTTAGCCCTTACTCTTAGTGCATGGTACTGACTCGCAGAGTGTGACATCTCTAGGGTCATACTTGAAACCCAGGGCTTTTTTTTTCTTTTTTTTTTTTTTAACATCATTCCACTCCAGATAAGTCAAAAGACCAGCCACCACCTCCTGGCATGTGTGATCTCCGAAATTTCTGTACAGTCTTCAGTTTCCAGTAGCTTTTCTCTTCTAAGTCCCCTAGAGTCTTTCCCTGCACATGGACAGCTTAGGTGTTATTCAAGGACCTCAGGGGGATTTTTAGGCAGATTTGGGGGGCTTCTTCTTTGTGAATGTTTATTTTACAATAAAGATCCTTCAGAGATATTCCATGATGAGGTTATATTTTCCTTACCCCAGCCCTGGAATCAACCATTTCTCCAAAGAGCCCTGGTTCCTTCCTTTTTCTTTAGAATAGTATTTTGGAAATCAAGATCTTGGTGGATGATAGGTATTCTCATTGCTACTGGAGTGTCATTGCTTCTAGGCCTGCTGAGCTGACAGACCTTGGAAATACATGTATACTGTCCTTCATGTATGCACCTTATCTATCTATCCATCAAAACCATGAATTTATACTGATGCCTCAAATTCCAATCCAATACCCATGTTCATTATAGCCTTCTCCCTTTCCTCGTTTGTAACATCTTTGACAGTGAGAAACTGGCTCTCATGATCTACAATATATTTACTTAGTTGTTCAGCCCTAGTATATACATAAAGTAGTTTCAGAACTGCTAACCCATACCCTTCTAAGAAACTTATGAGCTAGAGTACAAGATTTTGAGACAGTTCTTTTTGTATCCAGCCTTATAGTATCTGGTCAAAACACAGTTTTCCAAAGTAAATTTGGTTTCCTTCTCACTCCCTTCATTGTGGTTACGTTATTTCATTTGTAATACAGTTAGGTTCATTCGTTACAGGTTGTATGCCATTTTACCTTACATCTGCTACCACTGGATTATTATTGTTTTTAACCTACAGTAATATTTACTCTTTGTAGTGAACAAGGCTATGCATTTTGGCAAATTAATAGAGTTGTGTATCTTTCAACACGGTCATGACTGAACATGATACACATATGAACACAGTCATGATTGAACAATTCCATCACTCCCAAATTCCTTTGTGCTGTCAGATTGTAGTCATCCCCCTCTCTTACTCCTTGCCCCTGGAAACAAGTAATTCATTGTCCTTCCCTACAGTTTTGCCTCTTCCAAAATGCAATACAATGGAATCATACAATAAATGGCTTTTGGTCTCTGGCTTCTTTCACTTAGCAAAATGAATCTGATTTAAATTGAAGTATAAGGTACATGCAGTGCAGTGTATAGATCTTAAGTGTAGAATTCAATGTTTTGACAAATGTATACACCCATGTAACCTATACTCCTGTCAAGATATAGAACATTCTCCTCACCCTATAAAGTTCCTCCACATCCCTGCTCAGTCAATCCGTATGCCTGCCTCACCTCTTCACCGCAATCTGAGTTTAGATGCAAGCACTGTTTTGATTTTTTTCTATCACAAATTATTTTTTGCCTGTTCTTGAAATTCATACAAATAGAATCTCATAATACTTACTTTTTTGTGTGTCTTATTTTGCTCAGTACAACCCTACAATGAACTTTAATTCATTATAGAAGATGAAATACATATTTCCTATATACCAGGAAGCTTCATAAGTGCTTTACATATATTAACTAATTGAATCCTTACTACAAGTCTATGAAGTAGGCGCTCTCATTGTTCCCATTTTACTGGTGAAGCAGCTTTGGCACCAAAAGTTTGTCACTTGCTTGAGGTAATCATCTCTAAAGGAGAGAACTGAGGTTGGACAGACTAAGAGACTGATCTGTGAAAGGTTTAAAATGGAGACAATAATTGATCCCATAGGGAACTGCAAGGCTGTCTCAAATTGAGGCGAAGGAATTGGGCCTTTATACTCCCCACATGAAACAGTCATTGCAAATGGGCTGCCATTGGGAGAGGTCAAAATGTTAGGTGTGGCACATTCCTTTGGCACAAGGGAATTCCCAGAGAGGATGGCAGCATCAGCCCTTAGAACACTTCCAGCAGCTACAAGAATAAGTGACTTAGTCCCAAAATAAGAATCTGGGAAATATACCACTGTCTCCATTATGGTTCACCATTGATGCCACTCAGATGCACTTGCTTCTTAAGGTCAGTGCACACAGGATTCTGGTTGGTCATGTTGACTGGGGAAACTTATGGGACAAAGATCAGTGGGACAAATTATAGACAGCTAACAACAGCAGCTTTTGTTGGTGCTGTAATTGACACTTACCATCCCGCTCCTCCTACTGTCCCACTTAGATTCCCCTCAGCCTTGCCTAGCACCTCTACTGGTCTAGGTGGCTTACATGGCAGAATGATCCAGATCCTCGTCCCTGAGGAGTCTGAACACCTGGTCACCATGTCCTTTTCAGAATTCAGCTGCTGCATTTAATTATGAACAGAATTGGAGAAAGAATATCAAGACATCCCAATGGGTTACCTGAGTGCCAAATGTCTTCTCTGCCCTCACTGAATACCGGAAGTCCAACATCGTCTGGATGAATTACCCATGCCACGTGCCATAGTGACTTCTTTTGTTGTGCTGGCCTCATTAGCAGTCATAAAGTTCAATGGGACCTCACGTTGCCTCCTGGTGAAAGTCTCCACCTCTGGGAGCCAGGACCTTCAGGTTAATTACTGTTGGCACTTTCCTCCCAGGAACCCCACAACCCATCTTACACGAAGAACACTTCTGGAGGCAACTATATTAGACTACACATGGGAGTATCAATGGTTTGACAGCACCCAGGATGGTGCAGTAGCTGATGGAATTCCTGGGCAAGGATACGAACTTTCCACCCAGGTAACTGACAAGAGTAGATGCTCAGAAACAAAAGGGGTGAACCATTCTGGACATCGTCCATTTGTCCAACTTCTCTCTCTTGCTGCACCTAGGAGGGTTAGTCAAGATGAACTACATCAATGGGGTTCCTTGCCTTATGGCTTTCGGCTTAGTTTGGTCAAGGGGGAGCCTAGACATGAAATCAGAAGGATGAAAGAGATTGATGTCTGTCCCTGGCTATTTCTTGCAGGAGAACCTGGGGCTGATACTAACCCTGACCGCCTCTCAGCTCCTGGAATGCAATTCTGTCCTCTCTTGTCCCTGGATTTCAATTATTATTCCCTCTCCTTGCCCCTTCAGGCTTAGGAGTGTTAAGAGAGCCCTGGCCTTACCAGCTTACCAGGTACCAACCATCTTTTGTGGTTTTCCTCCATCCTGTCCACAACTCTCAGGCCTTCTATGAAAACTCCACTTGAATAGACCTAGTCTGAGTGTGTCCAGTGTTTCCTGCTGGGACTCTGACTGATGTGCCGGCTCATTGAAAGGAAAGGGAAAAATCCTAATGGTGACCCATAAAACCCAAAAAGATCAGGACCCACCAAGTCTCTGACCACATCAGCTTCTACCACGACCTCACTATTCCCAATGTGATCTTCTCCAGTCACACTGGCCTCTGTGTTGTGGGCCTTTGCACGCTAAGAGTGCTCTTGCCACAGAAATTCATATGACTCACTGTCCCAACTCATGAAGATCTCCGTTCAAGTGCCCTATAACTAAGAGGCTTTCCATTCCTATTCTGTATAAAAAGGCAAATCTCAATCCACCTTCACTATCTTAGAATGTTTATATTTTCTGTATGACACTTATAATAACATATTTTCTTGATTTTTCTACAATCTGTCTTTCCCTATTAGAACGTAAGTGCTTTAATAGCAAAACTGGAGCTTTACTCATCGCTATAGACACCACTGTCTCAAACAATGTCCGGCATATAAAATATACTCAATAAATAGGCTGGTGGATGAGTGCTGACTGTTTGGGTTCCTATCTGGGCTCCACTATTTACTAGCCAGTGAGCTTGGTCAAGTATCATAAATGTACCATGCCAGTTTTCTCATCTGTAAAATGGGGACATTAATAGAACATACTTCTTAAGCTTATATTGACTACTCAGTAAATTAATATTCATAAGGCAGTTAGAAGAGTGCCTGGTATATGAGAAAGCCTTTATAAATGTTTGATCATTTATTAATGTATGGAAATACTTTGCTATGAAAAAATATGGCCCCTACATAAAAGGAATAATTCACAAGAAAATACCTAACCCTGTATGTACTTAATTATGTTACATCCAAATATATAAAGAAAAATGACAGAATTACAAATAATAATTTGTTAATCCATAGCTATAGTGGAAGACTTTAATGTACATCCATCACTAAATTGGTTTGAGAAAAAAACCTTAACGTACACACTGCATCCCAAAACACAATTAGCTTGAATTAATGGGCACAGACTCTATAACCGAACTTTAGTGAACACACATTGTTTTCAAAGAAATAGGGAGCATTTATAAAATTTGACTAACAAATACGTTTATCAGCTAGATACTGCATTCAGCTGGACATTAACAGACCTCAAAACCAACCAAAAAAACCTTTGGCTTCAACCAGTTGGAGGTTACCTTTAATCACGTATGGAGAAGTCTAGGAATAAGCAGTCCAGAGCTGATACAGCAAATCAGAGGCTTTCAGGCAGCATATAGCATTGTGATTTTTTGCTGCACTGTGGTTTTTGTCATCATGAGCAAAATACAGGTCTTCCAACTCTAGGCCTTGAGTCCACTTTGGAGAGAAAGAATGTGTGAGATGAACAGGAAACAGGTGAGGCAAACAACCCAGATGATGTCCCCCCAGTGACTTCTACCTACTTCTCATGGCCAGCAGAGCGGGACAACACCTCTCCGGGCTTTAGGGTAGCCTCATAGATTGAGTATTTTCACCAACATTTCAACACTGCTCAACAACTTGAACACAATATTTTTTTCTTTAAGTAAATAAGTCAGGGAGCATGGACCTTGGGAAAGAAACTAAAAGTAACTACCATACTAGGATAGAAAGATAAAAAAGAATCGACATCATAAAGTCCAAATACTTGACAAAAATGCCATTAAATTAGAAGTATACAGTAAGTATAGCCTAATTTCCATGAAGATAAACAAAATCACTCAGGAGATATTCAGAAATACCTTTTTGAATATGCAGTGTACTGATATTTTTAAAGAGTAAATGATAAACAAATTAAATACAAATCTATGTAACATAATTAAGGTTTATTTCAGGGTATAGCTATTGACAAATGCATTTACTAAAACAAAAAGACTGAAAATTAATGAGCTAGTGGTCCAACCTAAGGATTAGACACCACTAAAGGTAATCCCAACTCATAATGTCTACCCTTTTCATCCCCAGTTTATTTTGTGGCCACTCCGTGAAGAGCCGAGGCTGAGGCATGCCCATATTGACTATGTTCCTAGGATTCCCCTTCAGTCTAAGTTCCCAGGAGTCAACGGTAACAGGAGTCACTGAAAGATTTTCCAAAATTCACACACTCACAGGTTTTGCATTAAGAGAGAACTTCATATTTTTCTTAATGTAAGGGGTATCAGTAAAGGCATTCCCTCATTCTTTATAGTCACAAGTTTCTCTGCAGTGAATGATGCCTTCGCAATGAAAGGTTTTCCAATACTGATGACATTCAATGGGACCTTCTCTCCAGAATACTCATGTCTCTTAAAATTGAGAGGAAATACCAGGCCTTCCCATGGTAATTGCATTCAGAATATCTCACCTTCTTTTCCTCAGTAATTTGAACGCTTGTGCTGTAGGGTTTTCCACCTTCCTTACACGAGTGTTCCCCTGTAGTGATTTCTCATGCGTGTTCTAAGGGATAAATGTCCCGAAGGCTTCTGCATTCTGATGATATTGATAAGGTTTTCCCCGTAGTGTGAATTGTCATGTGACTCCCTGGAGATATTGCTGAAGGCTCTCCTATAGCTACTGCATCCCTTGGGTTTCTCCTCGATACATAATCTTTCATGCACGTTGGGGTGTGTCTGAACTGAAGGCTTACCATGAAGACTGCACTCATGAGGTTTCTCTCCAGAGGGAATTAACATGAGAGTTACTGAATGCTACTTCTCATCGAATAGATTGAAAGGATAGGGGTATGCCTTTCTTTAGTGATTTCATGGCAAGCTTCTCATATGGTTTCCAATGATTTCTGCCCCTGGGTATACCTTGGGTAGTTTCTTCCCACATTGTATCAGGATTGGCCTGTGTGACCAATACAATAATGGAAGAAGTGGTAACATGTCCTTCTGAGACTAGGTCATAAAAGACAATGTGGCTTCTGCATTAGCTCTTCCTCAGACCAAATGTTTTGAGGAGAACCTGCTGCTACACCATAAAGATACTTAGCCCTGTGGAGAGCACTACATGGTAAGGAAATGAAGCTTCCCTCCCAACAACCAACACTAACTTGCCAGCCATGTGTGAGCCATTTTGTGAGTGGACTCTTCAGCAATAAAGACTCAGGTGACGGTAGCTCCAGCTGACACCTTGACTGCAACCTCATGAGAGACCCTGAGCCAGAACTACATAGCTAAGCTGTTTCTGAATTCCTGACCTAACAGAAATTGTGAGATAAGAAATGTATGTTGTTTGAAGCCACTATTTTTGGAGGGAAATCTGTTATGCAGCAACAGATAACTTCTACACCTAGTGTAAGTTACCACAAGCTGGCTGAAGGATAAGATATCAGTAAGTGCTTTCCCAGTTACTGTATTCAGTTCTAGGTAGTTTCACTGTAAGCATCTTCCCCGTAAACATCTTTGCCACAAACATTTTCACGGCATAACTAATTGGCGGTAAGGCAATTTTGCCATAAAAGATGAAATAACTGGTGGAAAAATAAGACATTTAAGTGTAAAGATACAAATAAAGGGACAAATAAGAGAGTGTAAAGCCAGATTCCATACTATAGTAAAAAATATCAGTTTGCAAATCCTTCAGTAAACATAGTCGTCCCTCCTACATTTCCTATAGAACTTTGGAATGTCTATGAATGGCTATGTGACAATACTGCATTTCACAACACAATGCAAAACTCAATCACAAATATGCAACCTAGTATTTGGAAACTGATACCACTCTTAAGGAAAGAAGAAATTTTAGCAAAAAAGAAAGTGCGATGCTGAACAAGGAGAACAAACTATGGTGTAGTAGCTTCATGGCAATACTGCACAAACAACTGATTTAATTTTGTGGATTGGTAAGCATTTGTCCTCCAAGGCTTTCGTTCATAGGATTATGCATATTTCTGTTTGCCTGTTGATTTGTCTCCTTCTAAGATATATATAGATATCTGTTATGCAGCAACAGATAACTTGTACACATAGTGTGAGTTACCACAAGCTGTCTGAGGGATAGGATATCGATAAGGGCTTTCCCAGTTATTGCATTCAGTTTTAGGTAGATATCTATATATATCTTACATATAAACTTGGCATTACCAAATTACCAAAAATGAAACCAAACTGTCAACCAGTTATTTTATCTTTTATGGCAAAATTGCCTTACAGCCAATTAGTTATGCAGCGAAAATACTTACAGCAAATATGTTTACAACAAAGATGATTACAGCAAAAACATCACACACGATTGTATTCATATCCACCTATTATGTATTCTCTTATGCACAGAAAGGTAAGAGTTAGTGGTGAAAGATTTCCCACAATGATTACATTCATACGGTTTTTCTCCAGTGTGAGTTCTTACGTGTTTCTTAACAGCTGAGAGATTATTAAAAGCTTTCCCACAGTTACTGCATTCATAGGGTTTCTCCCCAGTATGAATTCTCTTGTGCACAGTAAGAGAAAAGCTACTGCTGAAGGATTTTCCACACTGATTACACTCATAGGGTTTTTCTCCAGTATGAGTTCTCATATGCTGTGTCAGATATGAGCTCTTCCTAAAGGTTTTCCCACAATCATGACATTCATAAGGCTTCTCCCCTGTGTGAATACTATTGTGCCCCGTAAGGGAGGACCTTGTGCTGAAGGCCTTTCCACACTGATTACATTCATGGTGATTCTCTCTTGTATGAATTCTCTTGTGGCTTTTGAGGTTACAACTAGTGCGGAAGACGTGAAAACACTGGTTACACTCATAGGGTTTTTCTCCAGTGTGAATTCTCACATGCAATCTAAGGGATGAGGGATCATTGAAGGCCTTCCCACAGTCATTGCATTCATAGGGCTTCTCCCCATTATGTATTCTCTTATGAATAGTAAGGTAAGATCTACTGCTGAAGGATTTGCCACATTGATTACAGTCATAGGGTTTTTCTCCAGTATGAATTCTCTTGTGCTGCGTAAGGTTAGATTTCGTGCTGAAGACTTTAAAACACTGATTACACTCATTGAGTTTCACTCCAAGATGACTTCTCCCCTGTTAATTAAGAGATTAATGATAATTGTAATTTACAATATTTTTAATATTCCATGCTATCATATGAATTCTCTCCCATGGATTTTGTTACATTATTAGAATTGATGCTCTGGTTATTTTCAGTGATTGTATATGGTTTCTGCCCAGTTTGAGCCCTTACAAATCAAAAATGATAGATGCTTATCATAATCACAAAGAATTTCCTGCTAAATTTACGACCACTTTATGTTTCAAACAGTTAATATCTGAGTCACATTTAAGGAAATATTCACCTGTGGAAACTCTTGGTGAAGAAATAAGTTTGGAGCTAGCCTACATTTTTCTCCAAGTTCCCAACAGTTTTACAGTATCTCTCCAGAGACATCATTTTCTCATGTGTAAATGATACTTTCCTTTAATTAATCTCCTGGTATTTTCGTGGCTTTTCTGACTTATGGAGTTCTCCTACAGTGGAAAACCAGAAATCACCTATGTTAGACTTACCGCTTTTACACCATTAGGATGTTCTTTTCTGAAAACACGCTTCTTAGGAGTTAACCATTTGGCCTTAAGTACAGTCTCCAAATCTGAAACAAATTGAAAAGAAATTTAAGTTGATGGATAAAAAAATAGTAAAGTTCACACATGAGTAACAGCAGATTCTGAGGGATTAGGGTTTTTGAATTTGGCAATAAAAGGGATATGAGCATGTAAACTGTAGTTATTAAAAAAGGATTCTAGAAGGATTAAGATTGATCAGAGTTTTACCAAAGAAGGAATTATCAGGAATGCAAAGTAGGAAAGAATTGGACAAAGAGCTCATGCGAGCTTAAATTTAAACAAGAAAAAAAGACATGTCTTTTTCTCCCTCTGAGTCCAAAGTAAAGTATAAGATGTTGAAGAGAAAGTTAAAAAGGAAAGTAAGAATGTACACGAGGAAGCTAATAGCAAATGTTCTTGGCCTTCTCTGTCAGAAAAAAGGCTACTTTACAAAGTTCCCTGATTGGCATTTCCTCATGTAAAACTCCCATGCCCCAAGTCACTGGCCAGAGCTATTCCCCACAAGGACCCCTAGCCACCTGGTGCTCACCTGGACAGGTGCCTGGGAGAATTCCTCTCTCCTCTGCCATCACTTTATCTTCTTGCTCCAACTGGGAGATCAGACTGGGTTTATCAACATGATACCCTACTCATGGAAAAAAGACATATATTGTAGGGGGACTATGCAGATGACAAGGAACTCCACAAAACCAAAGCCAGCAATTCTGAAGATGGGTGACTGTGACTTTCAGAGCAGTGAATATAGTAACTCTCAAGGAACAAAAATATAAGCATCCTCACTCAAGACCCAGGTGACAGGACATAAATAGTTCCAAAGTACATGCCCCAGTTTAAATATACACTTCAGAAGCTCTAAAGCTTTTAACCATGGAGAATATAAAGGAACACATGTTCAGTTCATGGGGAAGGCATCAGACAGAAAGCTCAGTGAGGGAGGGAACTATGTCTGTATCATTCACCACTGTATTCCTAAACCCCACACAGACCCAGGAACACAGACGTGCTTAATAAAGACCTGTGAGAAGTGAGGACAGTAAAAATTGTGGAATATTGAACTCCAAAAGTCCATCCCTTCACAAAACTGTGAATAAACTGGCAAAAACTATCAGAATCAACTTGATTGGAACTCTGGAAACTTGTCAAAAGTTTGCAGCAACCATGAAAATGCTTAATTGGGAAAACCCAGTTCATATTTTAAGTGAGGCTTGCCTCATCCTCAATTCCCTGCTTTGGACATTAGCTTGAAGATGATGGCCCTCATTCCTAGTATGAAAGGGCACAGGATGGACCTTAATCTCAAAGAACTGTGATTGATTGTTTTGACCCTTCTGAAGGTTTGGCTCAAAGGGCTTGTCTTTATCTAATTCCAGACTCTCCAAGGTCTGAGCTGGCTACCCAGTGGCCATGTACTGAACACATTTAAAGGGAAATATATTAGCCACCACCACCCGAGGGAAGTGAAAACAGCAGAAGAAAACAAAAGACTAAACAAAATGCTTGGGAGGAAAAGTGTGGAATGAGATGTTTTGGGGAATTTTTGAACAGCTCCCTCATATTCCTTTAACTCTAGAAAGCCACGTGCACACCCAGGGTCGGGTGCATGCTCAGCAAGGACCTGAGAAGGCACTAAGGCTTCACCTTTGGCTGACCTTCAGGCTCTGCACAAGCAGGAAGTGAAGGCTAAGGCAGAGCTGGAAACTGCCTGGCTGATTCAGAAGGCATGCCCCTCTGTATATACAGAGCCCATCTGCAGAGACCAGGAGTGTTTTCCTTTTTGTTCCAGGCATGCAACGAAATCTCTGACAAACCACGAGCTAACCATTAACCTAACATAACAGAGTCTTCAGTGACCGGACACAACAAATATAGATATTACAATATTAGTTCAGAATATAACTAAACATACATACCACACCAACTATAACAAAGAACAACAACAAACCCGGAAGACGGGGAAAAATCTGATTCCATAATTGCCATATTATAATACTGCAAATGTCCACTTTTCAACAGAAAAGTTTTGAGGCAGGCAAAGAAACAAATGTATGGCCCATTACAGGAAAAAAAAAATTAGCAGAAACAGTCCATGAGGAAGCCTAAATATTGGACTTAATATACAAAGAATGTAAATCAACTATTTTAAAATTGTTCAAAGACCTAAAGGAAACCATAAACAAAGAACTAAAGGAAATCATAAGAATAAATTCTGATCAAATAGAAAACATGTTATAGATATACAAATTAAGAACAAACAACATGAGGTTTGGAGTTGAAAAGTACAGTAACTTAAATGAAAAATTCAGAAGAACAGTTCATCAGCAGATTTGAGCCGACAGAAGAAAGAATCAATGACCATGAATACAGGACGATTTGTCTTACCTAGTCTGAAGAAGACAAAGAAACAGAGAAATAAAACAATTTGAGCAGAGCCTAAAACACCTGCAGGATACCATCAAACATGCCAGACGCACACCTTATGGGAGCTTCTGAAGGAGAGAAGAGAATGAGGTAGAAAGAATATTTGAAAAAATAATGGCTAAAAGCTGCCTAAAATTTGGTGGAAGATACAAATGTACACAACCAAGAAGCTTAACAAACCCCAAATAGGTTAAAGAGAAAGAGACAGAGATTATTAGGACATCTATCCTGTAAGAAATGCTGATGAGAGACTTGTGGCTGAAATGAAATGGCAACGGATATTCCTCAAATCTACACAAAGAAATAAAGAACACTGATAAAGGAAAATACATGGGTGAATATAAATGTCAATAACAATCAGTTACTTATTTTTGGCTTGTTAACTCCTCTATTTTTCCTATATGATTTAAAAGATAAATGCTTAAACCGATAAATCTATGTTAATGGGCACATAATGTATAAAGATGTAATTTGTGACAAAGCAATTTAAAGCGGGGGGGCAGCCATATAAGAGCAAAATTTTTGTATGCTTTTGAAACAAAGTTGCTTTTAAATCAAAATACTTTGGTATAAATTAAAATGTTAATTGTAGCCCCCAGGACAACCACTAAAAAAAGTAACCAAAAACCAAAAAGAAATGAGAAGGGAATCAAAATATTCCCCTAGAAAATACCTAATACAAAAGTCAATAATAACGGAAGAATTGAAGAACAAAATTGAATGACATGTAGAAAGCAAATAACAAAATGGCACAAGCAGGTCTTTCTTTATTCAGAAATTACCTTACATGCAAGAGGATGAATCTGTCCAATTAAACGGCAGATTTTGGAGGAATGGATTGAAAAATAATCCAATTATATACTATCTGTAAGAGACTCAGTTTACACCTAAAGATACTAATAGATCGGCGGTCAATAGATGGAAACAGATATTCCATGAAAACAGCAGCCAAAAGAGAGAGTGTAGCTATATTAATTTCAGGCAAAATAGACTTTAAGACAAAAATTGTTATAAGACACAAAGAAAGATATTTAATAGAAAAGTTTATGTCTATAAACAATATAACGTTTATAGACATATGTGTACCTAACAACATAGCTCCAAAATATATAAATTTAAAAATGACAGAATTGTATGGAGGAATAGAGAGTTTTATAATAATAGTTGCAGGCTTCAACATCCCACTTTCAATAATGAGTAGAACAACTAGTCTGAAAAGCAACAAGGAAACAAAGGACTTAAACAATCCTATAAACTAACTAGACCTAACAGACATATAAAATACTCCACCAGCAACAGGATACACACTCACCTCAAGTGCACATGAGACATCCTCTAAACTAGACCGTATGTGAGACCACAACACAAATCCAAATACATTTAAAAACAATGAAATCATACAAAGTATCTTCTCTGACCACAATAGAATCAAATTAACAATGAGTAACAGAAGGCTATGTGTCAAAAAACTTAATATTGTTAAGATGACAATACTAACCAAAGCGATCTACAGATTCAATGCAATCACTATCAAAATTCCAACCGCTATTTTGCAGAAATGGTAAGTTGACCCTAAAATTCATATGGAATTGCAAGAGTTCCTGAATAGACAAAATAGTCTCAAAAAAGAACAACAAATAGGAGAATTCACACTTACTAATATGAAAACTTACTACAAAGCAAAGGTAAGGAAGACAGTGTGGTGCTGGCACACGGCCAGACATATAGATCAATGGAACAGAATTTAGTGTACATAAACTCACGTGTCTATGGTCAAATAATTTTCAACAGGGTGCCAAAACAATGCAATGGGGAAAGAATAATGTCTTCTACAAAAGTGCGGGGACAACAGGATATACACATGCTAAAGAATAAAGCTGACACTTTCTCCAAACCATATACAAAATTAACTCAAAATGGATTAAAGACTTCATTAAAGAGCTAAAGCTAGGAAATTCTTAGAAGAAAACATAGGGATAAATCTTCATGACCTTGGATTTGGCAATAATTTCTTAGATATAACACCAAAAGCACAAGCAAAAAAGAAAAATAGATAAATTATAATTTTTGTGTGTCAAAGCACACTATCAGGAAAATGAACAGATACCACGGAATGGGAGAAATTATTTGCAAATCATATTTTGGATAAGGGTCTAATATTCATAATATATAATGAACTTTTCCAACCCAAAAACAAAAAGATAAACCATTGAATTGAAAAATGGGCAAATGACTTGAATAGACATTTCTCCAAAGATATACAAATAGCCAACAAGTACATGACAAGATGTGCAATGTAATTAGTCATAAGGGAAATGCAAATCAAAACGAGATACCACTTCATATCCTCGAGGATGTGTATAATCAAAAACCCAAAGGTCGGGGCCGGCCCGGTGGTGCAGCGGTTAAGTTTGCACATTCTGCTTCTTGGTGGCCCGGGGTTTGCGGTTCGGATCCCGGGTGCAGACATAGCACCACTTAGCAAAAGCCATGCTGTGGTAGGCGTCCCACGTATAAAGTAGAGGAAGATGGGCATGGATGTTAGCTCAGGGCCAGTCTTTCTCAGTAAAAAGAGGAGGATTGGCATTAGTTAGTTCAGGGCTAATCTTCCTCAAAAAAAAACCAAAATGTCAGGGAAGATGTGGAGAAATTGGAACCCTCAAAACGCTAAACACAGTCATATATGACCCAGCATTCCACTCCTAGACATAGACCCATGAGAAGTGAAAACAGATGTTTAAACAAAAGCTTGTAAACAAATATTCATAGCAGCATTATTAACAGCAGCCAGTAAGTGGAAAACACCCAAATGTTTATCAACCAGTGAACAGATAAACAAAATGTGGAATATCCATACAATGGAATATTATTCAGTCATAAAAGGGGATAAAGAACTGGTACATCCTACAATATAGCTAAACCTTTAAAACATTACGTTGCTTGAAAGAAGCCGGACACAAAGAATCACATATTTTATGATTCCAGCAATATGAAATGTTCTGAATAGGAAAATTCATAGAGACAGAAAGCAAATTAGCGGTTGCCAGCAGTGAGCGGGGTAGGTGACATGTATTGGCCACTTAATGGGTAGATGCTTCCCTTAGGGGTGATGACAATGTTCTGAAATTAGATAGTGTTGATGGTTGCTCAACACTGTGAATCTATCAAAAGCCACTGCACTGGATACCCTAAAATGGTTAAAATGGGGAATTTCCTGTTCTGTGAATGTTATAAGAACTAAAAAAAAAAAGCCTTGCTACCTGAGTTAATAAATAAACGCAGGAACGATGTCGGGCTTACCAAGCGATGCGAGGTTCCTGCAGTTCTCCAGCATCACGTCCCTGTACAGGGTTCTCTGCGAAGGGTCCAGCAATGCCCACTCATCCGGAGTGAACTCCACGGCCACGTCCTCCAAGGTCACCAAGTCCTAAACCATCACAAAGATCATGGCTTAACCATGACCCCTCCACCAAAGTGGACAGGAAAAGGGCCGAGGATGACAGAACTGGGGAGGAGGAACCCACAGCACAAGGTGTCCACACAGGTGCTGATCTCTGCTCTCATTTGCATCCAGGCTCAACCCTCACTGCTCATCTCCTGTCCAGTTCTGCCCACTCCCAACGTTAAATGCACCTCTAACACATACGTGATACTCTTCCAATGAGGCTGTGAAATCCTGCAATCTAACTTCCCTCAGTGTCCAAGGTTGAACATAGGCCTGGGACATTGCAGAAAGCAGAGAAATACTTGGTAAAGTATGAATGATTCCCCGATAGCCATCATCAAGTGCTTGAGTTTAGGACACAGTCATGTCCTTCCTTAGCTTCCACTTAAAACTCTCAGCAGAACTTGATGTAGATAGTGACCCTGGAGGAAGCTTCGCAATGTAATAAACGTCGGTATCTACTGACAATGACGGGGTAGCCCCACACCCTCCATCAGAGGCCCAGAGACCCTGGGATGCCTGAAGACCTGGTTTGGCTGTGAGGCTCTAGGTCGTTGAAAGATAACAAAAGCAACTTTTGATCAAAGGAATAATGATTTGGAGAAAGGAATATCTGGCTCACCGGTAACCAGCTTGTCAGGAAGCCACGAACGAACCCTTCCTCCTCTGTGCATCCTTTTTGAGGAGAGGCTGGGTACAGGGGAGACTGAGCTGGGGAAAGAGGAATGAGTCACAAGAATCCAGGGTTGCTCTAGGTTCTAGCACTCACACATCTGGAGGCTTCGCCAACCTACCTGTGACTGAACACGGCCCAACACTAACACACACAGCTTTCATTAAGAAACCAGAACACAGTCCTGTCTTACTCAGGGCCAGGAAATAGGAACGAGGGTCTTCCTGCACTTGAGGAAGAGATTATTTTCATTTCACAGACAAGGAAATGAAAATTCAAAGGGACATCACATTATTTTATCGTTTAATAAAGACGGCATTAGAGGTAGAATCCCAAAGCTCCCACACACTCACCACACAGGTGACACCTCCACAGACACTCAAATCTCCAAACTCCCACATCCCCAAAAGCACCCAATTGCATACCAGTGACCTCTGGGCTCCACTCCCGCCTCTCCTGCTCAGCCCCCTCCCCTGTGCCTGCTCTGTGGTGCAGGGGCCTTCAGCACCTGGACTCTCAGGGCTGTGAGGACCCAAGAACTTACCACAAGTGGGGGACAGAACCATTGCCGCCATCCTGTGATGAAGGCGCTAAGTCTTCCTGACCAACAGGGCAGTGGAGAACCAGGACACTCCTCCTCTCGTCCCCACGGAGCACTCAGGACAGGGCTCTGGAATAAAAGGGAAAATAGAAAGTCTTCTCAGCCTCTCTCCCTCTCCAGGCTCCTGAGGACGAATCTGTCTTAGCTTGTCCATCATGTCCTCCTTCAAAGGTGATATATTTAATACTGGGCCCTGTCTTTGCTTAGCAGATTCTGAACTCAGGGCCATGTGATGGCAAAACTTGTCTTCTTCTGTCCCCAGTGGTACGACCAATACATTACTGCTCCCCCTACTTTAAGTCCTTGCTTCCCTGAGTCTCGGGGCACATTCTTCCCATCCACGTGGTTGTCACAATCACAGACTCAGCTACAAAGCCTGTTCACTGAGACTTTGGCACCTGACTCCCATCATTCTTTTGACCTCCAGTTCCATGTCATTGGATGACAGCAGAGTCATGAGGATGACTCTCACAGCATTAGGAGTTTGTCCCTACTCCACCATGGCCACACATTTCCATGGGCACCACCCCAGGCTTTGTCATCACCTGACACTATTCCACCATCTAGAACAATAGTTCAGAAATTTCTCTCTCTGAATACAACTTGCTAAATTTCTACCTTGTTCACTCATTTTTTTCCTCTCACTACGTGTTCTCCACACAAAGGCTCCAGTCTGCCCACTCTCCTACTTTCTTGTTGTCCATCTACCACCTTCTCTCTTCACTTCATACTTGTCAAACTCCAACTGTAATGTCTCTCATTTCAAAATATTTCCTTATCCCTACCCCCCACATTCACTCCAGCCCAAGAGAACTCCAACCAGGCAGGATTGCAATCATCTGCCTGCTCCATGGCAACATTTGGGCAGACCAACCTGCACAAGAGCTGTCACCTTGCCACCTCTAGAAAAACATGGTCTCCAACACGCAGAGTCCTTGACCCTGCAGGACAATCCTACAAGTCCATGGAGCTCCGTGCTCATTAAACCTTCTCCAATGTCTCTAATCTCACACATGCTCACCTTTTCCCTCTATGCTAACCAGCTTCCCAAACAGCCCTCAATGATCCCAGCCTCCTGGTGTCTCACCTTTGTGAGTCCCCCACACACAGTGAATTAGGGTTGACCTGTGTGATCACTAGACTACTGCAGAGGTGACAGTGGGCAACTTTGGGGCTAGGTCCTAGAAGGCGCCGTAGCTTCTGCTGGTTCGTTTGGACTGCTTGCTCTAGGGACAGACCATGGCCATGTTTCAGGGACACTCAAGCAGCCCTGTGGAGACACCTCCATGGAGGGGAACTGAGGCCTCCCTCCAACAGCCAGCACCTACCTGACAGCCACGCGAGTGAATTACCTTGGAGGTGAGTCCTTCAGCACCAGTCGAGCCTTCAGATGACTGCAGTCCCAGCAGATATCCTCCTGCAACCTCATCAATGTCCTGAGCCAGAACCTTCCAGCGAAGCCACTCCTGAACTCCAAAAGCACTAAAAGTGTGAGAGGTGACACATGATTATTGTTGTTTTAAGGCGCTAGGGTTTGGGGGAATTTGTTAGGCAGCAGTAGATAAGGACGAATACACCCTGACTTTCAGCAGATGGTCCTGCATCCTACTTCTTAAAGCAAGCATCCAGAGAAGAAAGCCACTTTCCTGTCTTGTCACCAAAACAACCACCCGCACCATGGTTTCCTCCCTCTCCTGTTAGAAACCAGGAGCCATCTCCCTTCTCTGTAAGGCCGTGCTCTGCGGCTCTGTTCTGTGCTCCATCCCACCTGCCTTTTTAAGAGCTGTACAGCATTACTGATCTCTTGCCTACCTTTTCCCTTCCAGCTCTCTCACTCTACTGGACTCTTTAACCCATGAGTCCAACCTGATGCAGGATTTGTAGTAGTGAAATAAATCTATCCTAACAGCATAATTTCTTTCCAGTTACTGTCCAGTTTCTCTCCTTCGACACAAACTGTTTATTCTCTGTGTCATTTCCTCATGTCCCATTCATTCCCCAATACAGTATAATTTGGTTTCCACCACTGCCATTTCAAGGATAATACACTTGGTAGAATCACCAATGATCTTAGTCATAGAACAGAGATGTAGATTGCAACTACACTGACATCATTTCTCATCTGTCAGATCAACAAAGACTTGGTGGGCTGAATCTTTTATTGGCCAGGCCATATGGAAAGGCCTTGTCATACACTGCGGGGGTAAAACTCAGCAGGAGATATGTCAATGTCAAGCGAAATGGAAAAACATTTACCCTGTCCCTGTCAACTGCACTACCAGGACTCTGCCTGAGAGATACAAAAATACTAAAAGACATGAGTGAGATTATTCCCTGTGGCCTTATTTATAATATGGAAGGATTGGAAACAACATAAATGACCATCAACAGGGAATCAGTTCAATAAACTATGAGACAGCCACATAATGAAGAAACAAGCACAGAAAAAGGAAAGAGAAGATCTGTAGGTATTCTTATCTCCAATAAATTTAAGTGAAAAAAATCAAGGTACAAAGCTGTCTCTATGGACTGTCTCCTTTTTATAAGAAGGGAGGTCTCCTTTCCCTGGAATCACAGAATAAAATGTAACTCCAGAAAACTGGCTTCTTGAGGTCTTTCTGCATGTCCTCCCTGCATCCCAAAGATAAAAGCAATAAAGGGTGTGAGTGGGGCAGGGAAGGGAACACTGGACACTAAGAGTGAGTTTGGAGCAGGTGGAAAAAAAGAGTTGCAAGGAGTCTTTGACTCCTTGGCCTGTGTGATAGACACATTTCAAGTGTGCAGTAGCCACATGCGGCTAGTGGGTACCATATTGGACGGAGCAGAAGTGTACAGCATTTCTGTCATCACTCAAAGTTCTGTTGGGCAACACGGGTATAGAATGGTCCATCCTCTGTGACCCTCTTTCCCTCGCCCCAAAGATGTCCATATTCTAATCCTTAGGACCTGTGAATATGTGACCTTACAAGGCAAAAGGGATTTGACAGATGTGATTAAGGTAAGGATCTGGAGACGGGAGATGACCCTGGATTATTGGGGTGGGTCCAATGTCACACAAGGGTCCTTATAAGAGGAAGGCAGGAGGCCCAGGGTCAGAGAAGGAGATGTGATGAGGGAAGCAAAGGTCAGAGAAAAAGAGAGATTTGAAGATGCTACGCTGCTGGCTCTGAGGATGGAGGAAGGAGCCACAAGCCAAGGAATAAAGGCAGCCTTTACACGATGGAAAAGGTGAGGAAATGGATTCTCCATGAGAGCCCCCAGAAGAAACACAGCCCCGTGGATCCATTAAGGACTTCTGACCTCCAGAACTGCAGGAGAATAAATTTCTGTTGCTCTAAGCCGTGAAGTTTGTGGTAATTTGTTACAGCTGCCACGGGAAACTAATTCAGCCTCTCCCATCAACCCTCCTGAGCCAGGGTGTGAGTCCAGTGGACCCGGACACCACTGCAGAACTGCTCTCCCCTCGGCAGGTGGAGGAGGTCTCCTTTCTCCCACCAGGGACCCGATCTGCAGTTAGGAAGTTATAGTCACTGAGCCAACAGAGAGGAGGGCTGGGATCCAGCCAGCTCACTGGGCCCCCAAGACGAGAGCAGACGGAGAAGGGGCCTGGGACACTTTCAGGCCTCACGGACCCCTTCAAGGTCTTTTGGAAGCTGAATCCCATAGTAGGGCAGGAGGGGTCTCTGTTCAGTTTACAGAGTGACAGCTGCTCCCCTGGATATGCTGCAGCTGGAAGAGGGTCACAGAGGATGGACCATTCTATACCCGTGTTGCCCAACAGAACTTGAAGTGATGATAGAAATGCTGTACACTTCTGCTCCATCCAATATGGTACCCACTAGCCACATGTGGCTACTGCGCACTTGAAATGTGGCTAGGGTGACTGAGCAAACAAATTTCTAATTATATGTTTCATTGGTACAACTGAAATAGCTACAAGTGGCTACTGACTACTGTGGTAGACAGGGAAGCCCTAGACACACTGAGGCCTGACTTCCTTTAGGATGTGAAGGAGGGACTTGTGAGTGGCAAAGTGGCGGAAAAACATGGACCTGGGTGAGGGGGATGCCTGCAGGGTTGCATGGACAGCAGCTAGGAGCACAGTCACTGCCCTGTGCCATCTGACAAATGCACCCATTAAAGTATTGTTACCTTCTCTCAGTGCTAAACGCCAAGGTCTTTTTTTTCTAGCTCTTTCCTACTCCATAGCCATCATCCAGGTCTAAGGAACAATCACTTTATTTCTAATCTTCTTCCCAACCCCTCCCATCTTGCCTCTTAAGTCTTCATTCTTAACCCTAAAGTCCATTTTAACCCACGTGCTTTGACCAAATGCTAGTCACGTCATCCTTCTGCTCCCCGCTCTCCAGCGTCTTCCCACTGGTCTTAGAGCAGAGTCCACGGCCATGCCTGATCTGGTCCTGCCTGCCCCCCTCGCCTGTCTGACTCACACCCCTCCCCTGTGTTGACTCCCTTCAATCATCCCTCTTCTCAGGGCATGGACACACCAGGCTCTCTGCTTCAGAGTTGCTGTCACATAGGTCCCTCTGCCTGAAAGGCTCTCTTGAACACACTCCCACACCCTCACTCCAGGCTAACCCTCCGACTACCTAAATCCAGTCCCAAATCTAGCTCTCAAGCCAAATGTCAGTCCTTCTCAAGAGGGCTTTTCTGTCCCCTCAGGCTGCGTCCTCTTGTGCCAAGTTCCACATCACCTGGCAGCTGGCCCAGGGCCTGGCTCATGGAGATGATGAGCCATCCTGGTTTGTCTAGGACTGTCCTGGTTTGAACACTAAATGTCCTGTGTCTCGGCAAACCCCTCAGTCCTGAATAAATGAGGACGGTTGGTCACCATAAATTGTGCACTCAAAGAATATCAATTACATGACAAGCACACATTCCCCTCAAGAATGTCCCAGGAAAGCTAGAATGAGAAAGACACACACACCCACACTCACAATTAGTAGAAGCCAACAATTAAATATAAAATTACTTAACATCATTCCCTGCAATGTGAATCACCACACTGTCATTTCAGAAAAGTTTCAAGAAACAAAGTCAATTCCCCGTAGAAGGCAAGGTGCAGCGGACACTCTGTTTGCAGACTAGTCCCGACCCTTCAATCTACAAGGTGTCGCTTAACATTCCTCCAGATGATGCGAAATCTCACAAAGAATAAAAAACTACTTGCTCAAAATACATCTGGTTGCTGGTCAATTCCATTTTAAAGTTCTGTTACTAATATAAAGAAGTTAAAAATCATCTTTTTCCTCCGGTGCCCCTCTATTTTGAATCTTTGTGGAGGATTGAAAGGGCTTTAGAAGTCAAGCTGAATGAGCCTGAGGAATGCTGCTCAGTATTCCTGCCAATATTTAACGGGTTGTCTTGTAACACTACATAAACACAGAAAGCATTTACATATTTATATTACATATAAAATCCTGACATTTTGAATATGATGGAATGCAAGTACATCTATAGTTCTCTACTGCACACGTATTTGCAGTTATTTGCATGTTTGTTTAACATGTTATCTGCATATAACTGTATTTTCTGAATTGTTGACACACACAGAACCACACACACTTTACTATCTTTCCCCTGAATATAATCCATCAAACATCAAGAACTTTTCCTAAGACACCCTCCCTCTTAGTGACTCCTCGTGTTGACACCCCGAGCCCAGGAAAGCCCACAGGCAGCTCTTCTGCACAGCGGGGGCTGCTGGAACCTGCTGGAAGGAGTCCATGCGGCGCTCACCTGCTCACACAGAAATCCACGATCAGCGAGGACAGGCGGACCTTGAGCCTGGTTTCAACTCAAACCTGAGCTCCATGGATGCTTTTCTTGTCTGAGGGGAAAAAGCACAAAGAGTGCTTTTGAGGCCTTTTACAGGGTGATGACAGTTGCTGGAGGGAGAGGACACCCCATTCACTTTTCGTGTTTGTATTTACTGATTTAACGGTAACTGTTGGCTGTGACTGGCTTTCCCTGACTCCTATCCAGCCCCATGCTCCCCCAGACGGCAGAAAGCAGCCCCGTGCTGTGTGCATTTCCCTTCTCACCTCACTAGGCTTGACAGAGAGTTTTTGGTGTCTCCAGACCCTTGAAACAAGCTTGTCACTTAGGGGCCCTGTAAGTGACTCGGCTGACTTGTGAACAGTTTCCACAGTTCGTTCAGGGCTCGGGAGAGTCTAAGGCCCTGGGGCAGGGTTTCCCACCCTCGGCACTGCTGACATTTGGGCCAGAGAATTCTGCGTCGTGGGCCGTCCTGTGCCGTGGAGGATGCGGAGCAGCATCCCCGGCCTCCGCCCTCCAGGTGCCAGGAGTCCCGATTTGTAACAACCCAAACAACGCCTCCAGACGAGGCTAAAAGCCCCCGGGGCAAATCCCACGGAGGACGGGGACGGTGAGGAGGGGATGGTGGCGCCCGGAGGAAACAGCAGCTCCAGCGACCTGAGCGAACAGCCCGGGGGAAACGGGGCTCCGGGGCGACGGAGGACGCCGGGCCCTGACGGGGCTGCCCCGGCCCAGACCCCTCCCTGGACCCGGATCAGAGCCCGGCCCGGCCGCCACTCACCGCGTCCCGCCCCTTATGCCGCACGTCCACGGGAATCCCGTCCGCGCCGAGAAAACGGCAGACACCGAGCAGAACCACCCGGGTCCTCCCACGGCTTCCGCTTCCGGTCTCGGGCGAGCGGCTCTGCGCTTCAGGTTCCGGTCTCGGGCGGGCCTACCCGGGAGAGGCGTTTGGGGGTTCCGGGTTGAAGCGGCGGGGCGGGGCGGAGCGGGGCCACGCACTGCAGCCTGGAGGCGGTGTCCAGTTTCCTTAGTGAGTGGAAGGGTCGGCCTCGGGCTAGGTCCGTACTAGGGACGGGGACCAGCTCTAGGGTCTGTGGGTAGAAACCAGCTCTGAGGGTGGGGATCATTGTATGGGCGACACCACGTCTGGAGGCCTGGGTTGTGGGAAGGGCTCAGTTCCATGGGCGGGGCTGTGGGAGAAGGGTAGCTTTAGGGGCGTGGCTGTGGGCGGGGATCCGGCTTGAGGGCGGGGCCTGCAGGTAGGCTGTGCTGTGGCGGGAGAATTGTGGCGGGGGTGGGACCGTGGGCGGAGATCCGGTCTAGGGGCAGGGCTGTGTGAAGGGACCTGTTTCGGGGCTGGGACTGTGGTCCTTACAGGTCCTGGGGGCGGGGCTAGAGTCGAACGGGAGACGGTGGGCGGAGACCAAGCCAGGGCGGTGATAAGGCGGGGGTGGGGCTGGAATAGAGTTATTGGGTGGGAGAGTGGGAGGGAATCAGCTCGAGGGCCGGGGCTGGAGGCGGGGCTTTCCGGGGACCCCCAGACTGTACAGCCGGCAGGATGCTTAACAACTTCGCTTCAGTTTTTTCTCCGCGTTCACTCAGCCTGACACAGCCCAACAGAACCCCATGTCCATATTTGGAATTTTAAAATTTTTGTGCATGTTTGCTGTTCTTAATTTCTTTAAAAAATTGGTTCCATATATTCACATTTCTCTACCACTTGCTGACCCAAGCCAGTAAATAAGGATCTTACGCTATTTAATTTAAAATTTTTGGAGGGGAGGGGACTACATTATAGATAAAACATATAAGAAAACTTCAAAGAGTAATACAAAGTCAGCAAAATATTCTCACTCCCACCTCTGTCTCCTAGTCTTTTCCCCCAGAGATAAACACCCTTTTCGCCTCTAACCTCCTATATACAGTATGTATACGTATGCGTGTATGTGTTCAAGCCCAAGAGGGGCGTCCCCAAGCAAAAACTGAAGCCAATAAATTGTCTCATGCATCTGAACATACTGAAAGATTTAAATTTATGGTGGAGAGGGATGAACCAGTGATGAATTGATAGGAAGAAAAGAAAGCAACAATGGATTTTACCATTTAAAAGGTCAAAAAAAAGGTGAGAAAGAAAATTTATTCATAATATCCTATGTGGCACACCTCTGATAAGATTCATGTCATAAAATGGTAAACATTTATGTAATAAAACAATAGGCATTGAATTTTGATTTATCCTAATTCATTAAACAATTATATTGAGTGAGGGATGATGTTTTAAGGTATGTAAGAGAACTATATGCTAATTCTTTCAGAAAAGGAAGTAATTAGAAAAAGTCAAAAGTTTCGTAAGGAGTTAAGTTAGGAATAAATAGAGTTTCAACCAGAAAAAATAAAGAAGTTGTTTCTGAAAATCAGAGTAAATAGTGGAGAAGGTAGCTTTTCACTATAAGTCTTGAAGTATTATTTGAGATATATATGTACAGACACACAGACACAAGCCTGAATTTGTATTCCAAAGGGATCATCAAACGCTACAAAGAACTTATAAAAATCATCACTTTGCAACAATGGAATGTATTTTGAAAACTGCAGAGTTCAAGCATTAAAAAAATATATAATCATCCTGGTGGAAAAATGAATGGGGCGTTCCTTTCCAACCTACATGGTGATAAGCATTTTACATACATTACTCTTGAGTATTTTCACAGGAACCCATACAGAAGATGCTATTATGTATCTCCGTTTCACAGATGAGGAAATTGATCACAGCATGTTGCTAAAACTTTCATATTTCATACAAGTTCTCAGTGGATATTATTTTATTTTAAAATTGTTTATTGAATTTTCTTTTCATTAATAAAATGTGTCATTCTAATAAATAAGCAAGGAGTATGTAAGAACAATTAAATAAAACGACAGTTTTCTTTTGATGTAGTTAAATATATCAATCACTTTATTATTTTTCTGTTCCCTGCCTCACATCTAGGAAGAGACTTCCCATCCTAAAAGTTTACTAGAAAACTCTACTAAATATTCAAGAATCGGGGGATCCTCATATTATGCAAGCTTCCTGAACACACACAAAAAGTCATTATGACAAAGCACTTGATGCAAAATTCTTACATTATTAATATACTGATATCAATACAATATGTAGTTAGACAAGGTTTATCTGTAGAGTGACAAATATTTAAATATCCTCCCTGTGTTGTTACATTGTCTTCCCTCTGTCCATGTCATGTGTCCAATTTTCCTCCTCTTAGACATTTAGAAGGGTGATTTATCACATTTCAGTCTCACTAAGGGCCAGGAGAACATTTGAGAAAATGCATTGCAGCGTTATTCACAATAACTAAGAGGTGGAAATGATCTAAATGTGCGCTGATGGATGATGGGATAAAGAAAAGGTGATACAGGCATACAATGGACTATTATTCAGCCTTAAAAAGGAAGGAAATCTTGTCATATGCTGCAACATGTATGAACCTTGAGGGTATTATGGTAAATGAAATAAACCAGTCACCAAAGGACAAATGCTGCACGATTCCACTGAAATGACGGATCTAAAGTAGTGAACCTCACAGAAGCCAAGTAGAATAGTGGATCCCAAGGGCTGGGGGTCAGAGGAGGTGGGGAGTGGTTTGCTGTGTGTAGCGATTCAGTCATGCAGGATGGGGGCATCTGAGGATCTGTGGCACAACATGTCCATGTGGTCAACACTGTTGTAATGTACACTTGGAAATTGTTGGCAGAGTGAATTTAATATTGTCTGTCTTTTTTCCACAATAAAAAAAATTGAGAAAGTAGAATACTCATTTGTAATATATAACTCACAGAATGGAAAGACCTCCCCTAACTTGGAAAACATTACAAGGGCATTAAACCCTGTATTAATTACGAGGGCTGCCATAACAAAGTACCACACAATGGATGGCTTAAACCACAGAATTTTTTTTCTCACAGTTCTAGAGGCTAGACATCTGAGCTCAAACTGTTGGCAGGGTTGGCTCCTTCTGAGAGGAAGGAAGGATCTGTTCCAGGCCTCTCTTTCTGGCTGGTAGGCGGCCATCTTCTTCCTGCATTGTTAGATTGTCTTCCATCTGTCCATGTCTGTGTCCAAATGACCTCTTCTTATAAGGACAGCAGTCATATTGGATTAGGGTCTGCCCTAATTGACACCATTTTAACTTAATCACCCTATAAAGACCTTGTCTTCAAATACTGAGCTATGGGGTTTAGGACTCCAACATATGAGGCTGAGTCCAGCTCTCACGCCACCTTCTGCAGCTCTGCAGTCAGGCAGCTCTGAGCTCCCCCAGCCCAGGGAGCCTGGAGGGGGGATTATGCAGAGCCTTCATTCCCGCATCTCAAAGATGGGCTTGAGGCCCCAGCTTCCAGGGGCAACCATGAGGCTCTCTGGAGAGGAGCTTTTCCAAATGCTGAGAGCTCAGGACCCAGTGCGGGACTCTCGCCTCCCAAACCTCAGGATTCTGTTCCCTGTTCCCCCCTCCATGCTCACGCTCCTTCAGATAATCCTCCATCTCAGTGTCCAGAAGCTGCAGGTAATCGAGGATTTAGCCCAGGAAGGGGACGACACCCTGTGCTAGCAGAATGGGAGTGATGATGAGTCCAGATTTTCAGATACCCCCATGGACCCTCCCCCAAAACCCCTCACCCCAGCCTCCTGCCACCCCAGACTCCCACAAAAAGCAGCCCAGGACCCTCAGCAGTCTCCCCAAAGTAGCCCCCTCCAGGAACACCAATCCCCCCCATCACCTCCCAGGGTCGGCTTTTGCCAAATCCCAGGGAATGTGGTCCCTGCTCCTCCCCACCCCAAGTCCCTCCTGGGCCCAGCCCTGCCAGGCCTCCTCCTGCTCACTTCCAATGCAGGCGTTTCAGGCTCTGTGGGGCCAGGAGCTGGGCCCAAGGAGGAGGGACCCCTCTCTGAGTGGAGGCCTCCAGCTGTGAGGGCGGAGCCCCCTCTCCTCTGACGCATGGACCCTTCCCCACAGGCACACTTACCTGCTGCTGCTGCCTCACCTGGGCTCCCTAGGCATTTATGTCCAGGGTTTCCAACAAAGAGGTTGCTTCCTGCAGGGTCAAGGACAAGGTCAGGGAGGCCATGCTCCCTTCCACATGTCTCCCAGGCCCCTGATCCTGTACCCTGGACATCTGGTGTGTGTGGCTGCTCCCTTTTCCAGAGTGCTCTGATTCTCGATCAGTCCCAGCTCCAACACTCGCTCCTCTGTGGCCTCCGGCCTGCCCAGGCCCCTCAGCCTCTCCCCTCATCTGGAAAGTGTGAGGAGAACTCCACCTGCCTCCCAGGGCCTCCTGAGGACTCAGTGTCATCTGACTGTCGTCACTGCTCTCCCCTCACCCCTCGAGGAGGAGGCGGCACACAGCTCCTGCACATTCCTCTCCTCCCTTGAACCTCATCCCCCGTTTGTGGGGCTTGTACCACAGGTCACCTCCCTCCACGTCCCACATGAGGAGACCGAGGCTCACAGAGGGGCTTGACTTGCTCAGAGGCCCACAGAGGAGAGACCCCTTCCCCTCCCAGCCAGAGGCCCTGTCCCCCTGCCTTCACCCCACCTACAGACACACCTCTGCACAAGGTCATGTCCTCTGGACTCTCAGAGTATGAACAGGCCCTCAGCCAGGCTGAGCGATGTATGGGGAGGGGGGAAGGTTGTCGTGGGGCAACTGTCCAAGTGGCATCTACCTGTCCCAAGGCCTGGGATTCTCTGACCCCAGGCTATACCTGAGGCCATGCCAAAGGCCTCAGCTCCCTAGGATCCCCTCAGGACGTTTCCCTGAACGGAACTCTGTTTTTCATCCATTCAGGAAGGGGACCCGTAGTGCCACATCTGAGTGACAGTTATGGGGTGACCAGGACACTGGGTGATGCTGACATTTCCTTCCGTTTGTTCTTGGAAACTTCTAACGTCCACTCAAGAAGGTCCATGAAGTATCTATTGGATCCCCCGATACTCTCACTGCCATCTGGGGCATGTGCCCTGCCAACACGGCACCAGGTGAGAATCCCACTGGGTGTGTCAGCAGTGACCACTATCAGGGCACAGTGGGGAGTCCCAGAGAGCACACAGTTCTGTTCCAGATCCACCATTCATCCCAAGGCTGGGCAGCACCCATGTCCACCTGACCCATGGGACCCCGCAGTGCCCATCCCTGGGGCAGGCAGGGTGCCCTGTCCTTCGAGGTGCAGCAAAGACCGAAGGAGCAGGAGGAGCCTGGCTTCCTGAGGACAGACTGGGCTGCTTTAGGAAGAAAAGAGTCCCCACCCCCTCCATCCACCCACAGCCTGGAGAGAGTCAAGTGCCGGCTGATGGATCCGCATGGAAGCCAGAGACCTGCTCATCCTGCCTGCTCCTCGCCCTCCTGGAACAGTCCAGCCAGCATCCCTGGGCCCCCTGACCAAGGCCTCCTGTCCCTAACTGCCCCTACCTGCCCACGCAGCTAACACCCCCTCTTCCTGTCATTCAGAACAATATTGACGGTTATTCCTCAGAGAAACTTTAAGGGAAAAGCTCAGCAAAGCATATCCTGCCTGCTCCCTCCTCCCATCACCCCTCCGCTCCTTCCAGATCTGCACCCTCCACTTACCTCCATGAGCAGCTTCCATGAGCAGAGAGGATGGCATGGAAAAGCTTCTCAGGCCTTGGCACTCCTGGGGAAGGGAAGAGAGTGAGCTGGTGAGGGGAGCTGGAGCCCTGCTGCCTCTGGCTTCTGTCCCCCAGTGGACGTCTCCTGTCATCGATGAGACAGATGCTCAGGGAACCCGGGGAGGGCACCCCCAGGACCTGATGAGTAGCATTCCCAGGTTGGAGGATTTGAGCTCAACCCAAGTCAGGAGTCCAGGAAGAATTGAGCTTCCCACCCTGGGCCCAGGAGTCAAGGTCAGGGAGGCCCCAGCAGGAAGAGCCTAGGGACTGTGCAAGGGCTCAGACAACAGACTTCAATCCTGAGAGCTGAGAAAGGAGAAGGGGCAGTTTCCACGACTCCAGAGAGGGGCTCCCTGGGCCGCCCAGAAGGTACCTTGGACACCTGGATCCAGAGCTCCACAACTCTGGCCCTGTCCTGGGCCATCATGCTTGGGTCTCCGAGGCAGGTGCTGATGACACAGTTTGCTACAGTGCTAAATTGGGTGATGGCGGCACAGATGGTAGGTGCCAGGTGCTCATTGCCCCTGTTGTCCCACCAGGACTAGGTGGATTCCAGACAGTGGCTGGGTATCACTTTCTTGAACAACTCCTGGTGAGGATGAGGATGGTCAGCAGGCCCTGCCACAGCCCAGCCCACCATCCCAGTCAGGGTCAGTGACCAGATCTGGAGCTCAGGAAGCTCAGAATGTGGCGTGGGGCTTGTGGGGGTCCCTGGGTTTTGTCTATGTCCACTGAGGGCACCCAGCACAGGATGACTCTGGACAAATACTGTGGGGAAGGAAAGTGGCATTCGCTGCCAACCCAGTCTCACATCCTCCAAGCACCAGAATGCAGCTCACACCAGCCATTTTCAAGTGGCATCTTCCACACATTCTGATTACCCTGGGCTCCAATTCCCCATTCAGATGTACATTGCCCTAAGGCCTTGACAACCATGGGTTTTGTTTGTCTGTCTCCTATGTAGTCATGTACCTATGAGGTGCCTACTAAGTTCTGAGGCTATGAGGCCTCGTGGGCATATGTATGATCAACCCATGGACCCAGCAGCACTTCAGTGAGCTCCCCTTCCGCACCAAAGGGCCAGACTCTTCCCAGCATCCTGTGTACTACTTCATTCATCTGCATAGCTACTCTGTGTTGCAGGTGCTCTCAGTGTCCATCTCTTTGTCCATGTGGGGACAGCAAAGGCCTGGGAGTTACAGAGGTTGCGCAGGTCACATGAGGGTAAGTGGGGAAGCTGGGATTGGATGTAGGACATGGGATTCCGAATCAGGAAAGGGCAGGTCTTGGACCTCTGATGGCACAGGGAAGGCCGGCCCCACCTGCCCTGAGAGCCCTGCTGCTCACCGCATCCATCAGTGTAAATTGCTCTGCAATCAGCTGGGGAGGGAACCCCAGGAAGTCAGGCTTCTGCTCCCACAGCAGGCTCTTGGTGGTCACTGCACAGGGGCAGGTGGGCTCTGGGGCTGGATCCGGCTCTGATGTAATCTCTCCAGATGGAGGAAGTGTTCTTCCTGGAGAGAAGGGTCCAGCGGGCTCCAGCTGGAGCTGGCCCTGGGGCTGGAGCTGATGTTGGCACTGGCTCTGGCCCTGGAAGGGCTGATGGAGGTGACACTTGCTCCAGCTGTAGCACAGGTGGTGGAACTAGAGCTGGAGCTGGCCTGGGCCATGGAGCTGGCCCTTGCTCTGGCTCTGGAGCTGGAGCTGGTGGGAGCTCTGGAAATCGTACTGGAGCAGCATAAAGCAAAAGTATCATCAAGTAGCTGACTTCCCCTGTGTCTTTCCAAATTCAGGAAGGACCCCACTGCTTTAAAGGAACCCAGCCCATGAACCCCCTGCAAATTGTCTTCCCAGACTGCAGGGCCCTCACCTTCCAGCTCTGCCTCCACGGGCTCTGGAGGCTCCAGCTGGACTGGGAGGAGGGAGGCGTGGCCCTCCAGCTCTGAGGCAGGTGAGCTCACATGCACATGGGCCAGCTTCATCCTGAAGTAGGGAAAATGCAGGGGCTTCCAGAAATCCTGCACTGGGTCCAGGCAGGTTCCCACTGGAGTATAGACGGCACTGGGGAGAGGCAATTGGGCAGGAGAATGGGAGGCCTTGTCGTTCCCGCCACACTCCCCTCCCAACGTACCCTTGTTTGGGTCTGGGCCCCTATGCCCGCCCATTCTCATCCAGAGGAGAGCCCCATTCCAGTCCCAACCCCTGTGTGGCTGTCCTGGTGGTGGCAGGACTGCTCATTGAGCAAGTTCAACACAGAGGCAGTGTGAGTCTGTTCTTCCCACTGACACTCTCCTCCCGAAGGCCCTGGACAAGGCCCAACCAGCCTTCCATGCACTTGTGCAACTGGACTAAGGACTGAGGCAGATTCATGAGCAGACTGCTCACACACCTCCTGTTCTGGACCTGGTGGTGGTTACCATAACTGGTGGATGCAACGAATGGGAGGCAGATTAAAATGGGAATGTAGTGGGGATGGATCTCTAGGGGCCAACTCAGCCCAGCCTCCCCTCTGGTTCCCAGGGGTCCTGAGATCCCCTCCATGGCTCTTTGACTCCTGTCCTCCGGGATTGGAAGCCACCAGACCTCAGCCTTCCCATGGGAATCAAAAGATGTGTGAGATGCAGGGTTCTGCCAGGCCCGCCCCCACTACTGCCCCCATCTTCTCCTCCACCCTGTTCTATAGAGACAGGAAGCCCTCTTTCTGGGCCCAAAGATCACTCACTTTTTTAGGTGGTCCTGTTAGAATATGAGAAGATGCCTCCAGATGTAAAGGAGGCTACGAGAGCATCACACGTAATGTACGATGGAGGACAGGACCTACAAATGATGTCTAACGTCACTGTTTGACTCTCAGACTACAACTGAGTCCCAGAGATTGTGTCTGCTTCATTCACTGAGTTGTGCTGTGTCTCCAAAAGTCCTTCATGGAGTAGGTGCTCAATATAAACGGCTGAATGAATGAAGTCCAACCAGAACCATCTCAGATATCTGAGTGGGCCTGGGGCCCCTCTGCTGTCCCAGGCATCCTTAATTGGCTCCACCAAGCCCAAGGACCAGGACCAACTGGATGGGATCTGAAACTCCTCAACAGGGTGATCCCCATGTGCTGAGTCCAAACTCAAAAGACCCCTTCACAGAGGTGGGTGAGGCAGACTGCTTTTCACAGGGAAGAACCAATACTAACCATGAACAACCAAAGCACGCCCCACAGCCCCATCTGCAGAGCCAGGCACCAGGTAAGCACCTCCCATGGCTGATCCCATTAGTCCCTATGAGAACCCCATGAAGTTTAATCTCTCCCACCCCACTTTTCAGAGGAGCAAGCTGAGGCTCAGAGAGATGTGGTGCATTCCCATGATGAACAGCTAGCAGTAGAGAGAGTCACCACTGTGCTGAGGAGGGGACAGGCACTCATCTAGTAAACAGCTGGTCCAAGACTTGGCGGGATGTATTGAAGGCTGAGTAGTTGAACATGAATGTGGTGACGGTGGAGATATTTCTACCCAGGAAGTCTGGTACCATGGACTCTGTCAGCTTCTCCATCATGCGTGCCTGTAAGGCATGCATCCTGCAGGGCTCATTTAATTTCACAGTGGGGTCATCTTCACACTGGGCAGGACAATGAGGAACGCATAGTCAGTGTCATCACCATGAACCACCAGGAGGATGGAGGTGACTTTCTACCCTCTTACGTAGCTGGTGGGGAGGTGAGGAGGACCAAATTCCTTTGGGAGAGAGAATGTGGAAGACTCCAATGGAAAACCATGAGAAAGTCCCAGGGGAGTCTCAGATTTGAATCTGGATTCTGAGGCCGCCTTGGATCCATCTCGGGATCCTGCTTATAGAGACCCCTCTGCACTCACGGTCCCTCACACCAGCCATGGTCATTATTGGTGGTGTGGTACACCTGCCCCCTGTCCAGGGAGATGGCATAGTTGAAACCATCTGCCAGCTCCTCAACCATCTCCTGGGTGCAGCTCTTTAAAGACAGTGCCTGGTCGTTGGGCCAGGAGGTATCAGGGGCCTGCCTGGACTTGGCCACAGGGGTAACCCCAACCACAGCTCAGGCACAGAGGAGCATCTGCATAGACCCCCAGCCAGGGAGGGAATGAGATGACACCTCAAGGGCTTGGGATTCACATGACAAAGGAGCTTGGTCCCCAGTATTCACCTTCCTATCCTGCCAGGCACGATCTGGGGTATGAACATGCCACCCTATCAGGCTTCTGACACCTAACAACATGCTCCTGCCCAGGGTGGGTCCCCTCTCATCTTCACCTTTCCTAACTCCACCCTCCCGACACACACACATGCAATGAAGGTCAAGGGGTGTGGGGCTGCCCAAGTGGGAGCACAGCTGTGCCCTGACCTGGAGTGGCCTGCCCTGTCTTACCTGAGGGTTCCTCCTGCCAAAAGGCCAGAGGTGTTGGAGGTGAGGGCTGAGCCAATATCTACAGTGACTGAAGAGGCTCTCATTCGCAGATTTCCAAGAGCCAAAGATTCAGAAAGTCAGGGTACAAAATGAGAACATCCTGCTGTGTTGAGTGTCTCCACTCAAATGAGGTGGACACGAGGCTGTGTCTAGAACATGTGTGCCTGGGAACCAGAGCTCTAAGTTCTGTTTGGGTCTGTCACCAAGGAAGTGAGGTCACCTCTCCAAGATTCCATTACCTGGGCCCCTTCCTTCAATGAGACCTGCCAAAAGCCCCCTCTGGGCTATTGACTGCTCTCCCTCTCTGCCCATGACATCTCCATAACTGTACACAAACATCCATCAGAGTTCTTCCCATAGCACCTTGGGAATGGAAACAAGGTCCCAGCTTTGAGGAGACACAACTGAGTTCAGACCTCTTTTTTCCTACCAGTTCTGTGTCCTGCAAAAGCCACTGTGCCTCTCAGGGCCTCCCCAGTCTCCCAACCTGCACAATGGAGATGGTGCTAAAACAGCTTCCTAGGGACATTGTCAGGTGTTTATGAGCTAATACTTACAATACCTGTGGGCTGCTGTCTCATGTGTCTGATGCTGACTCTCGCATCTATGTCAGTTCCATCTGTGCAGCCTCGACAAACTCCCACACCATACTTCTGGCCACGCATCGTTGGCCTGAACTTGGTCTGGTCACTCTTAGCTGCAAGAGAGGTTAGGAACTTTATCTTTGAGTTTGTTGAATTGCCATCCCAAATAAAACTGATTCTCTAATCTTAAGATTAAGGAAGAATGTGAAGTGTGGAAACTACCAGGGCTCTCTCCCTACACTAACCTCCTCCTGAGAGGAACAGATGATGTTCTTCTCAGATGAATCAAGTATTTGTTTACCTACCACAGCCTCTCTCTCGGTGTTTATTCATTCACGGAGAGAACAAAGTCTTGCTTCCAAACCAGAATGTATGAGAGGGATCCCTGCCCTCTTTTCCCAGCAGAATGACCAGAACCAATTTGTTGGCTTTTATCTGCCTGGGCCTTGTAAGTAGATCTAAGAATATTCTTTCTATGTCCTTCATTGTGTGGGTCTGGGAGGGTCTGGGATTGTACAGAATTTTAGGCAGACAGTAGGCTCCTAAAAGTCTGAGTCAAATTTGAGTCTGTAAATCAGCGAAGGAGAGTAATATCAGCATCATGGTGGAATAAGACATGTCTCGTTTTTCTCCTCCTCCACCAACAATAATTTGTCATCCATCCACAGATAAAAGTGTCTTTGTGGGAGAAGTGGGATCAAGCGCCATATGCCAAGGGACCTGGGAGGAGTCTCGCACGCCCATGCATCTGATAATAGGCTGACAGACCTCGGTCCCAGCTGTGGGCCCTGCAGTGGCCCATGAATCTGCTCAAGCCCCTTTCATCTGCTATATGGAACCCCCTGGGAACACTGTCTTAGACCAAGACACACAGATGAGAGGGGATTTGTGAAAGTCCAGGGTTCAAGAGAAGTTCCAGCACTCTCTCAGAGCGCAAAAATGTGTTCAGATGGGTTGAAGAGTTCGGATGCACTGACAGGTGGTTACTCGTGGAGGGCTTTAAAGGGATGTGGGTCCTCTAACTGCATTGAGGACTCCATCAAGAAGCCTTCCCATGAGTCACTGGGAATGCCTCATTCATGGATCTCCCCAACTGGCCCTTGGGCACCCCCACTGCTCCGTGTGCCTCACATACACACATGCCCCCGCTTTATGGCTTGTTCTTTGTGTGTGCTCCCAACAGTGGTGGTCAGAGTGAGCTCTGGAGGACAGCTACTGAGCATGTGCAGAAATTTGGTCCAAATCTGCAGGCCAGAGAGAGACCACAAGCTTAAGCTTTCACACAACCTCTGGAGAAACAAAAGGCAGGCTGTAAGCACCTGGCTTAGTACATTGCAGCATCAAGACAATGTGTAAAAGCTGGCAAATTCTGCCATTAATTAATAAAGTAAAACTGCTGAGATCATATTGGTATAACACATTTAAGAATAAATATATTTTTGTAAAAATAGAAAGTTTAAAAAAATGACATTTCAAATGTTGGAAAAATTAAGCTTGAGAAACCTTGTAGGTATTTGATAAATGTCTGTTCCTGCCTTCCTTCTCCAGAGCAGATATATATATACACACATATACATATATATATTCCCCCATAAGTGATATAGATACATACATATGTGCATACATACATGCATATATAATGTGTACATATGTATATTATATACATGTATGTATGCATGTTTGAATACACACATGCCCACGTATATCTCTACAATTTTACCTTCAGTAAGGCAAATTTCCAGTTTGTATCGACTATAAATAACTCTGTGCTTCAATCTGTTAGGTTTGTTTTGTTTCATTTTTTTCCACAAACATTTTTGTTAGACCTCTGGGCACTTTTCAATTGAATAACCATTGTATTTTTCATTCATTCTTGCGCTTTCATGTTCTCTTTTTAATAAACATATTTGTTGGAATATGACATACAATCAGAATAGAGAATAGATCAGAAGTGTAAAGATGATGAATTATCAGAAAGTGTACATGTGTGTTAACACCACTCAGGCCAAGAAACGGAACACAACCAGTTCTTTTTATAAAAGATTACATATAATATATATAATAGATAATAACAGAAGTTACTGGGATTATTATTTCTCCTTTTTCAGGAACTATTGCACTGAACTGCATTGCACAAACCAAATCTGGTCATGGTATGGTCTCCTTATAAAATACAGCTAGATTTTGAATGTTAATTGTTTTTAGGAATGCATGAATTTAGTACAGGAAACAGTGACCTACAAATTTCCTTTCCTGTAATAACTCTGTTAGATTTTTGTAGCAAAGTTAAGCTATTCTCATAAAATGAAATGAAAAGTTTTCCCATTTTCCCTGTTCTCTGGTAGAGCTGGAGTAAATGCGTGTTATTCCTCTCTTGAATGTTTGGTAGAATTTATCAGCGAAGGTGTTAGCCACAATAAAATGCTGTGGGAATGTTTTAAACTATGGATTTGATTTCTTTCATAGATATGGGATTATTCAGATTTTTCATTTCTTTTTGAGACAGTTTTGGTAACTTTTATTTTCCTGGGAATTTGTGAATTTTACCTAAATTTTCGAATGTACTGACATGTGATTTATAATAACATTGGTGATTGTTTCTTAGCCAGTGCCAGGGCTCCAGGCTCTGCAGGCTCTTGAATCAGGGAGGGTCTGGCCTGAATCTCCTGGGGGCAAAAGTCAAGCTCAACTGACACGTCTCTGTGGCTTCAGGCACCTGGATGGCGTAGGGAGAGTTTGTTTCTTGTCAGAGGATGAGAGGCTAAATGCTTTTCTTCTTGCCCTCTGCTCTTCACTCACACCAGCTCAGCAGACCTTGTACCTGGGCAAGTTGTCACCCACGCAATGGCCATGTAAATTCATCTAGGTCTGGTGGACATTTGGAATCTTATTTCTTAAACGCTCTCTTGAAACCATATAGCAAACATTTGTATAATTTTCTCTATTTTATATTTGAGTCAGTTTTGGTAATCACATTTTCATTTTTTACACCTTACAAGGCTGTGTCTCTTAGAATCATGCATTTCCGCTCCCTTCGGCCCTTCATGCTTCTTCCACATGTTCCTGCCTTTTGATGTTTCCTCCCTTATTGGAACTCTCAAGTTCATCCTAGTTTCCTGGTTGTTGATGGTGGCAAATACTCAAGTGTGATGGGGCAGAAGCTTAGGCAATTTGATTGCCAGCCTTCTCCCACACCATTCTCAACCCACAGATATCATGCTTCTCTGCATGTCTCGTACCCTTCAGTCGGAATTACTCTTCCTCCGCAGGCCTATCTCCAATCTCCTGTTAATATTACTGCTGTTCTCCAAAGCATTTAATGATGTGTTCATATGAACAAACAGTTTGGATCCTGAAGCAAAGAACCACTTAGAAAACCCACTCTGAATGTGATCTGCTTTTTCATTCATTACAGTTTCCTCATAAACATAATCACTTCCCTCCATGTGAGTGGAATTCAGTAAGGATGTTCCAGAGCCCAGGCTACGTTATTTGATTTAACTATAAATTCTAAGGCTCCAGGAGAGCTGTTGCCACAGATACAATGAGTTGACTGGGCATTCCTCCTTAATTAAGTGCTTGCGTCAGATTTGATGATAATCGTGGTTTGAGTCTTTTCCCTAAGGATCCTTATCCCTCTCTGCAGGTTTCAGTACAAGAACTACCGGTATGTTCTGGCCTTCATTTTTGCCATTGAGGAAATCAACAGAAACCCTCATCTTTTACCCAACATTTCTCTAGGATTTGATCTCTATAATGCCCTGCACAGTGAACAGAGGACACTGGAGAGTTCCCTCATTTGGCTCTCAGGGCTGGAAAAGGATGTCCCACGTTTCACCTGTAGGAGAGAGAGCAAGTCTGCAGGCTATGTGGGATGGGGAGAGATGACACCATGTCTCCTTTGATGCCATCCTCAGGTGCCTGAAAAGGATAAAAGGAGGAGACTGTGTTTATGCATCTCTCAAAGAATGTAATCTCAAAGGATAAGTGTATAGAGTCCTGGTGGGATATGCACATTTCCTTTATTTGTCAGTCCTAGGTGCTATGATTTCATCCACATCCATGGATAGCAAGGTTCCAGGGACCACCTCCTCTTGGCCAGATTGAGTCCCAAGCCGGGGTCAACAAGCCATTTGCATGAACACCATTTGCAATGATGCAAATGAACTGCATCAGAGGATGCCATGTCAGGTGTAAGGTGAGAGGGTCAGAAAGGGCCCATGCCGGTCAGGTCTCAGACAAGAACATTCCAGCATCACAGCCTCCAAAATGCATGATAGGGAGGGACAGCCTCACACACCCAGGGCCCAGGGATGCCACAGAACATTCCGTGTGTGACTCATGCAGGGCTGCATACCAATCACGTGTGCAGAATGCCACAAGGCCATGCGTCCCTGCCTGGGGAAGCAATAGTCATGCTGAATTTATAAAATTCTAAATCACTAACACAAGACCAATGCAGAAATAAAGTTGCATTTTCGCTTTTCTAAAAATTGACTTCCTCTCCTTTTCCTCAGTTCTTTTAACCATGTTAATCCCAGGACCAATTTGTTGTGATGATCCACTTCTACACCTTCAAGGTTGGTTTCCTGTATTATTTACGCTGTTGTGAGCACATGGGACTATATGGGAAATTCCTCCCTTTTCTCTCCCTAAAGAAGAGGGTACGAGCTGGAAGGAACCTCTATATTCCACATCACCCCAAACATCTATGACTATGACAAAGATCACACTTACAGACCTCCATGGCCCTGGAGCATAGGGGATTTCAGGGCAGTGAAGCTATTGTTCTCTATGGTTCCGTAATGGTGGATACATGTCATTATGCATTTGTCAAAGCCCACAGAATGTACAAGACAAAGAGTGAACTCTTAATGTAAACCATGGGCTTTCATTAATAATAATGTATCAATACGGGTTCATCAATTATAACAAATGTACAACAATAAAGTTAATA